CTCTTTTCAGGCACATTTTCTTTGGGGTTGAGGATGAACAATGTGTTAATGGCTCTAGCCCCACCCCCCAACCCAAACTTGTTAGCAAAACAGCAAACTGCTCAGCTGTAAAGGTCACCAGAATATTAATTCCTTGGGCTGCCGACCCTTCTGATGCACAGAAGGCACTGTGTGAAGCAGAGCTAGCCGTTTGCACTGCTGGGAACATAAACTGAAATATGGGATATATATTCCTCTTGTTTTCATTGGAATTCTCTTCAAGCTCCTCCTCTATCACCTGGAGAAACATCTTCCAGTGCCCAATGAATTCACTGGAGGTAGTTTCAGCCAATGCCAACATTTTCTCAAGCAGCAGAGATTCCATTTGCATGAGGCAAACTCCCACACCAACCTCCTTCTGAGCATGGCCATACCGACACTATTTTTTTAGTAAGGCAGTGCCAATGAGTTCAACTTCAAAACAAAGTTTGCAAAAAGGTAAGAGCACTCTATCCCACTTTCCCCTGATGTTGATGTTGACAAGTTCTGGGCAGCCAGATAAAAGGCTGTCTTTATACTAATATACTATTCAGATCAACATTACATCATCACCATCCACATGTAATAAAATCTAATTTAGAGTTTACCGGCAGAGTCCAGCTCTCCCACTGTGATTCTAGACTTGTGTTTGGTCTCTAACCCTCCGGAGACACTAACTATATTTTGACCTGTTTGCCGGATGGTACAGACCACAGTGTTGATGGATAACAGGAACACGCCTGCTGCTGCCACTGTTCTGTGTCATGGACGTTGAGGTAAGTTGGCATGCATAAAGTCAGATCCTGCTGCTTATCTGTTTTCAGGTCATAAATATTGCGGTGCTGATTCTAGCCATATTAATTTGCTTTGGACCTGCTGCAAGTGTTTCCTTCCTTGTGTTCTTCTAGCACTCTTAGACAATTTGTCATAGTTCAGGATTTCTGTTATAACCCCACAGCCCTTCCAAAATAATTTACATCCTTTGGCAGGTGTAGGATTGTAGATACGTCTGACCTTCATAAAATGGAAACATTGCGGCCCCCCTTGCTGAGGCCTGCCAAGCTGTTCAGAACCTATTAGCAGTATCCAAATATTAACTCACAGTTTTACAAAGCATCCCTGAGTCTTGTCCTGAGTTTTTCAGAGGTATCAAAAGTCATGGGCAATACCTGCAGAAGGGCTCCTCCTGAGAGCAGCAGGGTTGGTATGTTAATGACACTATGGATGTGTCCACACTACAGTTTAGAGTGGATTTAACACATTCCATATATGCATGTTTTTCTCATTGTCCAGGATGTCAATTTCGGGTCTATCCATTTCTCATTTTTTCCAGTCTTAAATTCTGTTCTCCACATTTCTGCTGCAATTTGAGAATTTTGTTTTCAAAAATCCTCATGAAAATTATTCTAATGAAATATCTCCTAATAAACATATTTGTTTGTAGTTTTGATTAATGTACACACTTTTGCAATTTCTCCAAATGTAAAGCATTATCATATGTTATTTTCACTAATATATTCATGCTGTGTACACTTTCCCCTAATCTATGCATCTTTGAAAACATCATTTGGTTGGCAAACTGCATTGCGAAATTCAGAGAGGTGAGAATTCTGAAGGCCAGCTGTGCTTCTGGTCTCATACTGTTTCGAAAAGTGCAAGTATGATAGAACCAGATATATACGTGAAATAAATTGCATTTCTCCACCACCCCTAGCCTGTACTTTCCTCCCATTATTCTTCAGATAATCAGATTAGGAAAAATAAGCCATTCCTCATCCACACACCACAGGGAAGCCATTGTGGTGTAGTGGTTAAGAGCGGTGGACTCGTAATCTGGTGAACCGGGTTCGCTTCCCCGCTCCTCCGCATGCAGCTGCTGGGTGACCTTGGGCCAGTCACACTTCTCTGAAGTCTCTCAGCCCCACTCACCTCACAGAGTGTTTGTTGTGGGGGAGGAAGGGGAAGGAGATTGTTAGTCGCTTTGAGACTCCTTAGGGTAGTGATAAAGTGGGATATCAAATCCAAACTACTCTTCTTCTTCTTCTTCTTCTTCTTCTTCACAGTCACTGCTGGGTGGATGCTTCTTCAGCAATCTCTCACTGCCCAGAATCTTAATAGCAGGCCTGGTGTCAAGAGTGGAAGACCCAGCAGAACCAGCACCAATCACCAGCAGGCTGAGAAGCAGCAACAGCCAACACTGGCAATGAAAAATGCCTCTCCAAGCTGGCATGGCCCTCCTTGAATGGCTAAACCCATCTTCTGTGCCACACTGCCCTATCACCCAGATGGAGCGGACAGGTAAGCAGAGTGAGTCTGCTTCTTGCCATGGTCATTCAGTTGCTCACTCAAGGGACATGAAGGAGGTACTGGTGGGTGAGGACTTGGAGGAAGAGGGCATAGGTGTGCCAAAACCATTTTGCTGAGAGCCACCCCACCCCACAAATAGACCCAATCTGTCCTGTTTAATAGTAGGTTGTAGGGTTCACTTTCGATTGGAAAACCTGATTGGCCTGTCACCATATCGGCACTGAAATCTGGAACCAGATAAAATCCCTTTGTGGCTGTACATAGTTTGTGTGAGCTGCTAACTGGCTACTCCCCCCCCTGCAAAGTCAATGAATTCATCTCAATGCATGCCGAGTGGGACCTTTGAGACCTTTCAAGTGGTTTGTATCTGACCTTGCTGAGCAGGCCTGAGAACATCAGCCAGTGTTACTGAATGTGAAGTGTTCGCATGCATTTGTATGATGCCCTGGGAACAAGTTATTTGGATGATGCAGCTGTTCTTCTCAGAACATAAAACCCAAGGAGTTTGAAGAGAAGTTGAATTAATTTTTTTTTAAAAAAAACTTGTACATTAAATCATGCCGGGGCAGGGAGAATGAAAAGAGGCTATTTCTGGGTGGCTTGCTTCTGAGGTAGTTAATCCTTTGGCTGCTAAAAGAGCAATCCCCATGGTAAAGATAAGAATACTCTAAAGGCCATGAAGGCCCCAGAGGTCAAAAACATGAATCTCAAAAGCAGCTTAAAAGAAGGCTTATTTCATGGAAACAAGCTCAGCCAAAATGGCAAAGCCTAACAGAAACAGTGGTGTTAAGCATTGTGCATTGTTTGTAGGAGAATCAGATTGAAAGAAATGGTGCAGATCAAACTGGGGGGGGGGGGCAAATGAAGTTAGGTTGATTTGTAAAGCAACATTATGAATGTATTTTTGCAAAGAGTTTGATGGCACAATTACATTCCTAGCTGACTGACTGCTTGACGGAATGAAGCTGTGACATGTTATGGAAGATGCTTCGCTATTTCAATCATTGTTTTTAAATATCAGAGAAGGCTTGGTTTTCTTTTCAGCTGGTCTCGTTAACCATCTCTCTGTTCTGAACAAAAAGGAAATTCATTCTTCCTATAAAGGAGATGTCGTATTAGCTCTCAGGTTGTCAGTCACGGCCATACTTCAGCCACACCATTCACTATTCTGTGAAAGTGGGGAAAGGATGGTGATGCGCAGTTAAAGGGGACCCATAAATTCATCTGAATTTTCGTTGTTTAAAGGCTGCTATGCAATTCAAACTGTGTATTGATAAGGGTAGAGGAATTTGGGGTGTACTTTCTCTCTGCCAATATATCTATCAGATATATGCGGGGGGGGGGGCTGCAATGAAAAGCAGAATGCACACACCACCACAACCAGACCACCTGGGTCATGGAGAAGATGGAGGAGCTCCAGATGGGTCTGAAGAATTCGTTGTTATTTATAGAGCCAACATAAATGTTTTCCCCGAGATAACATTTCTCCTGGTATATTGGGACCACCAACAAAAGGAGGAGGGCCTGAAATTTTGCCGTGTTAATAGCGGTGGTGTTTATGGCTTTGGCATTTATTAACTTGTGGGAGCTGTTTATTGGTCCATAAAATTTACTAATGGGGATATTATCTGTAAATTATATGCTTCCTCTACTGTTCAGGTTATTTATAGTGGCATAGTTATAGTTTATCACCATTTACCAGCATAAATCCCATAAGGGGACTTTAATTGCAAATTACTTGTTTATGCTGTGAATAAACTAGAGCAGTAATGTACAATATGTTGCGCATGCACATATATAATTCCTTACACAACTACTTCCCTCCACTTTATATTATACTTCTATAGTACAGTCACAAAAATCAACCTGGACCCTATGCAAACTCTTATCTTTATAAACAGAGGCTTACATGGCATTTAAGCCAGTACTTCAGTGCATTGCAGAAAGCAGGAGTGAATGTTTTCTGTAACAGGAGCAGACAGAATAGTCTGGCCCAAATTCAAAGCCCTCTGGAGAAATTGGTGTCATTTAATTTGAGCTTTGAAACTGGTCAATGCCCAAGTTTGGAACTTCTCATACACAAGATGTGATGACAGTTCATGAGGGCAATCTAGTGTGAGAGTCAGTGTGATGTAGCAACTGCAGCAGGACTGATGTAGTGTCTCCAGATGTGGTTGGAGACCCAACTCCCATCAGCCCTAGCAAGCACTGCCAACCATCAGGGATGATGGTAGTTGTAGTTCAGCAACATATGGAAAGCATCACATTGGCTAGTACCATTCAGCCAAATTCTCTCCTTAACCTATGTCACTGGCTTATTTGCTGTGATGTTATTTTATCACCTTTCCACTCTGAATACAATGCACTCAAGGTGGCTAATGTCATACTGAAAAACAATACATCTACAATGAAAAGAAAAAGGAAAGCAAGTCCCATCCCTACAAAACAATGGTCTAATGGTTTGTGTTTAATCCCCTAGTTTGAAGCCCTTCAAGCTTCTGATCACAGTTCAATCAACTAGAGATGCATATAGTGTTTCTGAATTTGATTTAGCTAAGTAACCTGCTCGACCAAATGCACACAAACATTTGTGAGCTTCTCCTTAGGCTGTTTTACTCTTAATTGTTCCACAAGTTTGCCGATGATAAACCAAGGACTGTAACCAGTGAATTTTTGTGATATTGGTTTATTGTTATTTGTGCTCTTCCTTTTAGTTTCCTGGACTTGTAACTTTATTTCCAAGCAAAATTCCATGTCGGCACAACAGTCGCAATCAATAAAACTTTGAAGAGAGCAGATACAAGAACTCAAAGGCAAGGGATACAAAGCAAGACAAAAAGAAACACAAACAGTACCAGATGATTCTTAATATAAAGAAAGCAAAGCATAAAGGTACATTGTCAATTTTATGTTTCCAATAATGAATAAAAAAGCAAAATTCTCTAAATTTCTTGAATAATGGAAACCTTTCTTTAATTTGCTTGTAATTAGTGGTCTTCAAAAATCTGCCCACATTCCAAATTCTAGTTGTATATTCATAAATACTTGGAACAGAAGTGCTTTTCTGGTTAGGAGCTATCATGACCCTTTCCTAGCTGCACAAACTATATATGAAAAACGACCAAATTGCAGTTTTCCACCCCCACCCCCAATAAACCAGACAAGAAGTTGGCCAATAGAGCAAAAGAAAACTTATAATTTGCAATATCCTTTCTACTTTCTATCATTTGCCCGCCTTGATATTTCTTTGTTTTTGGATAATACCATAAATGCGTATCTTATCTGCCACAGTCTTACCACATCTCCAAGTTTCAAATGCCACTGAAATTCTGTTTTAGATTTTTTTTTCTATTGCCATATACATATTAATAGTGAGAGAACATTATGCTAGATCCACTGTTATATTTGTCGTGGGACTGAATAATTAAAATTTATTCCCAACTATGATAGAAGTCTGTTTGCAAGAACCTTTTTTCTTCTTTCACAGAGAAGCATTCAAGCACACAAGCCCTTACTAGAATCTGAAGTGGCAGAACCAGGAAGTGTGCTTTCACTTCATCTGGCATTTGCTAAAACTAGATCATAATGGGGCAATTTGCAGCCCTTACAACCACAAAGTCAGATCACTCAGAACACTCAGATCTGTAAGCCGCTACTTGCAGATCTGGAATGATACTGCAAGGCACAAGATTGCCATCTGAGAGAGGACTAGGCCTGTGTCCAAGCTCAAAGTAACGTATCATGTTTTTATTATGAAAGCCATCCTACTGCAAAAGTGTCCGTATCTTTTCCAAGTTGCATAAAAGGCAAGAGTTTTGCCTGGCACATCTTTTCTGAGTGAAGATATGCAGTGATGGGAGGCTGGTCAAATTGTTTCTTCTATGCAGCTTTTAATGGGTCAGGAGTCGTGTCAGGGTCTGGATCAGCATGGCCACTATCCCCAAGCAACTTGTAAGAAAACAGAAGGGCAGCAGAGTCTGGCTGTGTGTATGTGGTGGTGAGGGACATGGTCCTTAGCTAGAAACTTCACAAAAACATTTGGAAACTCCTGAGTTACCCAGTGCTCACTGCACATATAACAACCGAGAGTAAAGGTAAATTTAAATGATTTTAATTGTGAAAGTGCATGTACAGTACAGTCTATTGAAGTTTGAAAGAATTACAAAAGTATCTAAATTATATTTCTACAATAAAGTAAAAAAACCAAAAACTTACATTTCCCCAAAAATCTATAACTGTGATTCTTTTATTTAAAAAAGCATGTACAGTAAGTCTCCAGAGAAAGGAAGTCGCAACATTTATCTGCAAGAGGTGCTAAGAATCTTCATTACCAAAGAGATCCACCATGAGAGGTAAGTATTGAACCTTCTTCACTGGAAGGGTCGGTGGCTCCCCTCTCCATTCATCTTCATACTAAAAATAATAGAATAAGTGGTCAAAACACATTTAGGGCTGAAATGGAAAGCAGCCAGAAATGGCACAAAACACAATGAAGCCGTGCTGTCCTCATTTCCGTCCATAAATCGTTATACAAACAGAACTATGATATTATAGAGTAACATTAACAAGAATACGTTTAAGCTTAAGAAATCAGATGCAAGTTTCTAGAACGAATGGCCTTAAAGCAGAGGCAGAGACAAGGAAAAACCTCAGCAGTATTAAAACTCACCTGGGGAATGCAAAATCACTCTCATCAGCCTTAATTTGAGCAGAGTCAGTAACAGGAGACTAGCAAAATCTTAGAGGCTACTCTGAAGGCGGGACTGAATATTGATTCCCATGCCCAACCTAAAAATACACCACCACCACAAGAATCCACTGGTTACGTGCAACTAGTGAGGAGCTTGCTCTCCTCAGCCCACCTTGTAATCAACTTGGGTTTCCATACTTTCTTAGAGAACCTGCAGAAAAAGCTTGAGCTTTCCATGAGCTTTCCAAGAAAACTCAAAAAGACCAAACCCAAAAAAGCTCTCCACAGTGCTTCCTCCCTCCACGTTTTCCTAAAACTTACCATGATAAAAGGGTGTTGGTGTGAAAAACAGCTGAGCTCAGCAGTGGCAGAAGCCTCATCTTTAAACCAGACCTGGATGTGCATAATTTCCCAGTGCCTCATAGAAAACTCCCCTTTCCCAGGCAGCGTATAATGCTCCAGAGGCATGCCCAGGCCCATCTTAAGGATGAGGTCTCTGTTGCTCCAGAAGCTCCCTGCACTATCTCTCTTTCCATTTGAGAATCAGTGCTATAAAAACAGAATACATTCAATATACTCCACTAACAATATAATATGACCCAGTTGACAGTTTGATGGCTGTCAGGGATGGGAGAAGACCTCATCTTTAAACCAGGCTTTGGAATTTTGGGACATAAATTGTTTGGTTTTTGCTAGAGATTAAGCTAGCTGGGGAATAGTGATCTTCAGTACAGCATTCTTGAAGAAGATATCAGGGCAGTAAACTGCATCTATGAAGCCATGGGACCAGCGAGGAGAAGATTTATTTCCTGGGACCTGTTAGCTTAGAAACTGGTAGACAGATTAAATAAAACTCTCTGGATTCAGTTAGTCAATGAGAGTGCAGCCTGAGGTTTCTGTGTGTCAGATATAATCATCAAGCACTCCAGAAATACTCAATCCTAAATCACAAGTGAGATGAAGATATAATGGATAAAGTTCAAAAATCCAACAGGGGGATTCAAATTCCATTCCTTCCTTTAGTTTCCCTCAGGACCCCCTTTTCATTAAAATGTACTCATCAAAATTATCTTCAGCGATTTAAACAATTAAAACAAGGGGGGAAATACACCAAAAATACTTTGAGGCAAGCTGAGCATAGATTTTTACTTTCAATCCAGATGTCATGCAGCAGCAGGAAATCGGTTGGAAATTTGATGTACTGAGACACCCAACATGTGGCTTATGCCTCATCAGAAGAACGTGCAACCTCAACAGTCAAGCAAGAAGTGGCCCTCGGAATAGGAATATAAGCGTAGTGAAGTTTCAGAATCCACAAAATGTTTTGGATGTTTTGTTCTCATTCATTACTAAGTACATTTTTTATTATTTGACTGCAATAAATGTTTGGACTTCCTTTGAAAGCTACAATAGGAGGTTCTTGTTTGTGCAGGTCCATTAGTCAGAAATACTTTTGGCTTACCTGTAAAGGCATCAAGATGGTTTGGAAAACTGGAATTGGATGATCTCTCCAGTTTAGCCCATCGACTAGTTTCTTATAATTTACTTGCTCTTTGCAATCTTCACACCTAAAATCAGATTGGGAATGCACATATTCAGGAAGTGACTGGCTATTACTTTGCTTAACACAGCAATGATTTTTCATCCTTTACCTAGAAACTATATTTCTGAACCCATAAAAACCAAATGGACATGAATTCATGATGTGTGCGTGTGTGCAGAGGGGAAAAACATACCCTTTGTCACTCATTGACAGCCATTCCCTCAACAAAAGGCGGTGGGGCCAGTGGGGGGTCTCAGGGTCCGGGTAGGTTCATATGGAAAGAGGCGGTACCTTACCACTGTGGGAATACCAAATGAAAATTCCAAATGAAGTGGGGGTGCCAAATGAAACTGTTTAGGTGAGTCTAGTTTGAGCAACCTGCTATTATAAGAATTAGCAAATGATGTAGAATAAAGGAAAATTAAACTGTTCATTTATTTTGATTTCATATGCTTGGAGTAGACACTGAATTATATCTGGAATTCTCCTATGAAAAAAGGATGAACACCTGGTTTGAACTGGTGTTCATGTTCCCTTCTCCTCTGTCTGGGAGGGTACACAGTGAGGAGGGATGTGGCAGGAGTATTTTCTGAATATTGTGCTGGCCTGCTTATGTTTGCTTTCTCTTCCCCAGGCAATTCATGCCTTGATGCTACTATCAGCTAGCACAATTTAATGGCAGGGAGGTTGTGGTCCCTGTAGCTCACATGGTTTATCTATCATAAGGGAATATTTCTTATAGGCTGATTCCTATGGGACTCATTTCTGAATTTAGAAGCTGAATTCCATGATGTCCAACCGTCCTATGTGAAAATTTTAAAAATCTTTGTTTATCAGAAGTATGCAACTGGTTTAGGGATGGTAATTATGTTCCTGTGTTTGCTTGCTGATGGGGAATCTGGAAAATTGCCACAAATATGTTTTACATTATTATTTTTTCTTCTGGTTTGGGACAAGTAATCACTTATCACATAAAAATATTGACCCAATAAATAGCCAGAATTTAGAGATTATATCCAAAATCCTGGATAATAATTATTCCAAATCCCTTATGTTTAAATAGCAAACACACCCAATAAAAGTCAACAGGCATTAAACCTGATTTACACTTCAGACTAAGAATAAAGTGTATTCTTTCAGTAAGCTCTATGGCCCTTGTAATATATTCTGTGTGCGTTTTCAGCTACTATTACAACCTTTCATCACAAAAGTATCTTTTGGGAAAAGACTAGATGGCTACACTATGCTAACCTCCTGCAATTTTATTAATAAGTTTTTGCCATTCTCTGCTCACAGGGTGCTTCTTTTGGCTGACTCGGAAAAGACCGGGAGGAAATGGAAGAGCTACAAGGTTCTAAGGAAGAAATGCTTGCAATGCATGTACAGTGTCTGATGAAAAACTTCAGAACTCAGAAAGGGACTTCTAGTGGTTAAGCAGAGGTAATGGCCCAGTGCCCTGAAAAAGCCTTGATCTTCTCAAATAGCTACCATTCTCCAGCCTCTATTCCACAGTCCACCTGTCTCCATTTTCCAGACCCTTCTCACTTTCCATTTCCAAATCATCACCCCAAAATGAATCAGTCAGTCCAAGTTAACCTGGCTACCTGGATCTCGGAACCAGAATCTATTATGCAAAGCAGCCATATGCAGATTGACTTAATTTGTGGCATAGGTTTTTGAATAGAAGGCAATTTTTGGATATATATAAACCCAATTGTTTATTATTTTCCACTGGAGGGTATGCACTTTATTTAAAACAAAACAAAACACACAGAAGGCAGTATTTTTGACCCTGTGCTTCTCTTAACTACTGTACATCGAATTGTTGCTCCATGAATGCCTTTCCAAACAGAACCCCAGATTACCCCTTCTGTTAACTTCAGGTGCTTTTGCACGCCCATCAAGTTTCTTCTCCACCCACGCTTCCTTTCCCGGTAACTGATTTGCAGTACGATCTATGCATGTTTACTCAGAAGTATGTTCAATGGGATTTGCTTCCAGAAAAGTAGCAATCTAGCTGCTGGGTTCTGAACTTACCGTATTTTTCGCCCTATAGGACGTACTTTTTCCCCTCCAAAAATGAAGGGGAAATCTGTGTGCGTCCTATGGGGTGAATACAGGCTTTTGCTGAAGCTTGGAGAGCCAGAGGGGTCGGTGCGCACCGACTCCTCTCGCTATCCAGGCTTCAGGAAGCTATCAGCAAGCCTGGGGAGCCCGCGGGAGTTCCCGCAGGGCTCCCTAGGCTGCGGATAGCAGCCTGCCGCCTGGCGCGCAGGGCGCCCTGAAGCAGAGCGCCCCACGCTTCAGGCAGACATCAGCCAGCCCCACAAGCTCGGGGGACAGCGGGGAGGCGCAGCGCCGCCATCCCGCTGTTCCCCGACCTGGTTTTGGAGGGGAAATAAAGGGGGGGAAATTTTCCTTTATTTCCCCCCCAAAAAACTAGGTGCGTCCTATGGGACGGAGCGTCCTATAGGACGAAAAATACGGTAAGTTTCTGAGCACTCTTCAAAGGAAACTCCCCACAACACACTTCAATAGTCTAGACCGAAGGTTATTGGAGCACAGGTAACTGGCCAGGCTCGCTCTGTGCAGAATGGGATTGTGCCCTAAGAGACGGCGTAAAAATCTTTGAAATAAGTGAAGTGGGGAGGGGAGATCAAAAGCAGCCATGGGCCTCAGGGACCAGTTGGGCCTCTAGTGTCAAAGCTCCCTCAAACTGCACCTCCTGACTGTGTTCCTAATCTTTCACAGGAAATGCGGCCCCGTGAAGATGGGGTTGAACACCAGTTATCTACCTCCTTTTTCACTGTTCCTATCAAAGCCTGAGTTGTGTGTTAATGTGGAAAAAACAGTGCATGCTTTTTCTACCCCTGTAAAACTAGTACTGTATAACTCAAGAAATAGCTGGGGACATGCTCCAGTTTTCAAATTTGTTGGATCAAGTTTTCAAAGAATATTCTAACAAGTGTGGCACAGTAACATGGGAAACTATTCAAGCCCTTAGCCTTCATTGCTATCAAATAACCACAGCAAATTCAATTAATGTCTGTATTTTAGATAAGTAATGCATTCCTTTGGCCCAATTCATATTTTGCAATATGAAGCCCTGTAGTTTATTTTCAGATTAATACGCTGATTCTAAACACACTGTTCACAGAAAGCAAGGGTGGGCTTCACTTTCAGATAACTGGTGCAATACAGTTCACTTTATGAAATACATTTAGGATCAGGCTACACATCACAAATACAGTTTCATATTATTGCTCCATGGTTTATAGATAACAAGGCCCCCATGTTTAATACTTATTACATTTATCATAAGTGATAGAACATAACTCTCTTTTCTGGTTGCATCTATTTAATTACTGCTTTCCAGAAGTAGGAGAGAATTCTTCATTTCACTCCTGGATTCTAGCTGTCCCAGAACAACTTTTGGCAGTTCAGGTTAGTGGGAGTTCTAAAAATGAATTATTTTACTCCCTTTGACTAATGCTCATGAGCAGGTGTCAGAAATGATGAATGTGCAGCAAATTGCAAAAGTCATCCATCTGCCTACCGCAGGGAACTCCCTGAAAAGTTCTTGTTTTATGGAGGCACCAGATTTTTTAATAACTGTGCCTTATTTTTATTAGGCATTTCAGAAAAGAGGGAAAAGACAAAAGGTTACCTACTGCTGTCTTAATGACAGGCCACAAAGGGCTTTAAAAGGTGAGGAACCATTTCACGTTCTGAGAGGTTTCACTTTTAACAAGGCAATACAAGGCAAGTCTGGCATTATATAGTCTTTTAATTCAATATCAAAGCCCTCAGCAAAACAGGAGGTGGGGGGGAGGGGGCTGTTTGGTAAGGAGGAAGTGACCTGAGCAAGAAGCCTCATAGCTCCTGAGAGCCCAAGATGGGTTAGTTAGGAGGAGGAAAATCTGGGCATCAGCAAGGGATGACAACTTGGGTGGCCTTGGGCCAAGAGACGGCATGCTTCTCCTCCAGTGTACTGCTTTGACCCTTCCTTACACAGAGGCTTCCCTCGTGAGTTTCACAGCACATCTTGAGAAGCCCATGCCAAAACACAGTAAAACTGCAAGTTCATTCTCCCCCACCTCAATGCAAATATGGGAGCTATAAACCTTGTAATATTCCTAAAGTCACACAAGTTAAAGCAATAACCCTACACTCTCATTTTGCAAGCAGGTTGCTCAGTACAATAGATGCCCAGCGGAACTCTGACATCTGTGCCGTGTCGTTTTCAATCTGAGCAGCCCCACACCTCAATAACAAAGGCCCCTCTTTTCATTGAACGTTGTCAGATTCAGACCGCATTTGCAATCTGTGTATTATATATATATATATATTTAAACCGTCACTATTGAAACAGCTATCTGAACAGCACAGTTCCTAAACAATAATCCAGGCTCTTTTGGCATCTCTAAGACACTGAATCAGAGGGCAATGTACGCACACGGAGCTCATGTGATCCATCTCGTTAATAAAAAGTTAAGAAGGGAACCACAGAAAGGCTGTTTGGAATGAAGGCAAAAATGAAACTCTCATGAATATGTGACGCGATCAACGGGGAGAAGCACAACTTGGCAAACTGCTGACAGCTTGCCATCTTATACAAGTCAGGCTAAAGATTCTGGTGAGAATTTGAAGGTAGTTGTTGGTTGTGTGTACACTCATCTCATTTTCACCTCAGATAAACAGGTTTTCCAGGTTTTCCCAACTGTTTCAAAAGTTTGCAACAGGAGGCAGTTCCCTCTGTGTTCCCCAACAGCCTCAGATGGAGAGAGAAGAGAGAGTGAGCTTCTTCTCAATCCCTAGTCATGCAGGAATGCTTTGAAGTTGCACCAGGCATGCCTCCTCCTCAGCTGTCTCATGCAACCCTTTGACGTGGGGGTGAGGAACCTCTTGGCCCACCAGCAGGGCCAATTTGGCCCACAAGGCCATTTTCCCCAAACCACACCCATCTGTTAATCAGCTGACATCACTCTGATGGGTGGGTGACATCAGCTGATGAGGGAGTGGGGTTCAATGACATATAACTGGTGTATGCAGCCAATGCATCAGGATTTAACACCCCGCCCACTCAGCAGCTGATGAGAGAACTGGCAAGCACAGCATTGCACCCTACTCCCCCTCAGATACATGGGTGGTGGGTTGAATCCTGCTCAGAGCCTAGCAGAGAGCAAGACTGAAGTCACTACTCATCAGCTGGTGAGCAGAGAGTTCAATCCTGTTGGGTGCTGCTTCACCAGATTGTCTGTCCCCTGCAGGAAACAGGCTGGTGAAGCTGACTTCACATGTCAACTCTAGACAGATGGGCAGGGCCACCCAGCTAGCTGTCACCTGATGTCATCATGATGTCAGGCTGCTGGGTGGCCCTGGCCACCTGTCAAAGCTGGACTTCAGGGGAGAGGGAGAAAAGGTAAAGATCTGGACTGACTCCTGCTTGAAGGAGAGTGCAGCAGACTCCCTTTTGCAGTATAGCTGGAATTTTAAGAGGGAACAGCACTTCTTTCGCTGTAGCAAGATTGTTAGCTTCTACCGTGGGTCATGGCCTATCACATTTCACTTGTTGGCCCCAACAAAAGCTGCTTTTGGGAACCCTGCACAGCATTGTTGAGGCACCCCTTGTTCTACTTCCGGATATCATCAAATCCAGCCACAGCAGTGAGACAAAAGAAACATACGTGTATGCCCCGGGAGGCTATGCCTCCTTCAAACCTTCCTCAAAAACTGTTCCTGGTTTCCAGCATTCCTGACTCAACACACCATTTACATAAATTCATATAATCTTAGATTGAGACTTACGCAGCCAGTATCGCTCGCAAAAGATCATCTGCTACTGGTAGCCTGAAGGACTTGCATATAGTCCTGCACTTGTCGCTGGCCAGCAGTCCGCATCTGTACAAACAGAAATGTTTCTCATGGAATTCATTTTTTAAATTAAAATAGAAAAATGTAAAATGCCTGGTTTAAGAGGTGTCAATATCTGCATTTAAAAAATAGTAACCTGGAAAAGATGGTGGAAAAGCTTTTGGAAAGGAAAGCTTCTTAAAATGCAGTCCAGTGACTGTTCCTTGCCTTCAAGCTGCTCCATTGTGTGGAGCTTTGAGTACCAGGGAATACTCATGCCTACTTATTAGGGTCAAGGGCTGCAGCTCAGAGGTAGGACATTTGCTTTAGCTGCAGAAGGCCCCAGGTCACTCTCCAGTGCCTCCAGATCCTGCTCAAACTCAAAAGCTAGATGGGCCATTGGTCTGACTTCCTGTTCCTTTTTCCTGAGTCACCAGCCAACCTGTCCATCTCAGTGCTTCTGCCAGGGCCTCCCCCTCATGCACCCTCAGAGAAGGGCTGCAGCTTTCTGGCTCTTCTGGCAAAGGAGAGAAAAGTAAAAGAAGAAACCACCACTAGGCACCAGGCTCGTCTGCCCACCCAAATGACACCCACGCCACCCCCCAGAAATCCCGCTTGCTCAAGCACTTTGCCTCCAGGATGCTAAAATGTGCTGAAGGCCAGTGGGAGACAGATTGATATATTTGCTTCCAAACCTGGAGCTTTGAATTAACAGATTGCAGACCAAAACAATTAAGTCAATAGGATTTAAAAATTGTTTCCCTGTAGTAATTAGATTCAGACCATAACAGTGACACTGGATTCTCAGAGCAGCAAAAAGGACAAGCCCTGCCAGACAAAAAAGGGAGGGAAAGAAGATACATTGGGCCTTTCCAAAATGCTGCAAAGGACTTTGAGACAGACAACATATTTTGCCTATGTTCAGTGTAAGGGAAGAAGCAAAGCTCTCCGATCACTTAAAGTAGAAGGACACTCCCAAACCACCAGAGGCAAAGCAAAGGCCTTTAAGGTCTACAATCCAAAGCAGAGGAAGTACTGAACTTACTTCCAAGTAGATGTGATTAGGATCAGAGTGTGATTCCCACTAATTCCAATGGGAAAATCAACACGGACAGAGATGGCCTTCCTCACTAGGTGAGGCCACCATATTTCCAGGAGGGGCTTCATAGAAATTAATAGGAAAATCAGCTATTTCCTCATACCTAACAGAAACATCTACATCCAGCTGCTTACAAGCCATTAGCATCAGAAATGCAGAAGCTGAATAAGAACAACTGTTTTGAAAGTTCAGAAGCTGTATCCTACTGACAACATACACCTTCTGTAAATATATTATAACTTCCCTGTTACCCCCTTACACCCTTTAAGTACTTAGCTATGTACACAGTCATTCCTTACTTGCTCCGGTCGTTGTACACAAGCATTGCCAAGAGTTGACCAAAATTCTCAAAGCTATTTTTCTTAAGTTGTTCCTGGGCCACTGCTAGAAGATAGGTGGTATCCATTTCATTCTTATCTCTCAAGCTATAGTATCGCCCAAGGGTCATAATTTCATGTTCTGATAAATTTCTATCTGAGATATTCAACAGCAAATTTCTGAGGAAGAAAAAAATGCATATTATAATTGCTTGCATGAAATGTACCTGAAAAGAGCAACAAATGTATACAGCATTTTCTGAAGTGGCCTTCCGTTAGTACAAAACTGTGTTGGCACAAAACATACTGCTAATTTTTAACTAGCATCTACACTAAATCTTATTTTCGTTGAGCTTCAACACAATGAAATGGAATGGAAATTAAAAAATGAAATGGAAAAATACATACAGGCATACATCATTTTATTTGTAGGCCACCTTTCCATAGTTAAAACCATGCTCAAGGTGGCTTACGACATGCAAAAGAACATAATTACAAAAATATCAAAGGTAGTCATAAACAATGAATGAAACACATCAAAAAGTACACAACCAAACTGAACAACTTCCACATAAATCATAAGATCTAAAAATAAAGATTAAAAAAAATAATATCAATAACAGCAACAACCCCCCTAGCAAAAAAAATTCCCTAAACAATACCCCGACTCCAGAATGTTGTAACTGCTCATAATTGTGCTTTTTGCAGCTGTTTTATCTACTCATCCAGCATAAACACTTTTTTGAATATCTGCATGTAGAAATAATGACTAATTCATATAACATGGAAACAAATATATTAATTAAAAAAACACACCAAAAAAACCTTCTTCAAAAGCAGTTATATTTAGGTGATGCACAATCTACTGATTTGGTAACAATATTTTTTTGTTATTTTTCTTTTGCTTTCCAGTGTGTTCTGAAGTGGCTTTGCAATAAGAACAAAAAGTAAATTCAATCTGTGTCGAGGCAGCAAGATTTTCTTAAAGCTATCGTGTTGTTAAACTGATTGCACTATAATTTGAAAGTGTTGGTTTGCAAAGTTCTCTTCAAATTATTACACATGTTAAAAAGCACATTGCACAAGATGGGTTTAAGTCATAACAAAAGCCAAATATTTCAAAGAGATATGTGGATGCTTGCTGGAAATCAGTATGACTTTTCCTGATATAAGAAATTCTCAGAAATATAAAACCTCAATATGTGCATGGTACTTTGCCATTTGATTTTCATTTCAATACAAAGACACAACAATCATGCACATTACTTTAAACATCCAAACTGAGTCCCTGGATATGATAAAGATCCATCTGTGCTTACAAAACAGTGCCCAGTTGTAAAATATGTTTGTAGAAAATGGATCAAACCAGGCCATTAAAACATAATGCCAAATCATCAACTGGCGTTCCGAGAACAAAATTTGGGATCGCACTTTAGCTTTCAAGGAAAAAAACAAACAAATCATCCATTTCCAGGCTAGATGGAAAATAAGATAAAGGGCGGGGAGGAGCACAGTAACTGGAAGCTTCAGAGCAGAGTATAATTTTTGCATATTTTCTGCCCAGAGGAAAATGACTTGGAAGTGGAGTTTGAAGATCCTAGTTTAAACATTTCTACTGTTTCAGGCCAGTGTCCTGCAAAACACAGACTTGCAGGAAAATACCCTTAATTAAAAGACAAGGAGAAAGTGAAAAAAGTTTGTGTTTCCACAGGGAGGTTTCGTGTTTACTTTGACAATGTTTCTGCACAGATCTGTAATTATTGCATGTATCAAGAAAAACGCAAACATGTATGCATGTTTAGTGACAATTAAATGTGTTTGATGGGATTTATGTAAGTGTGCATAGACTGCAGCCTTAAGGATTTCAAATGACAGAAATTGTCGTATAATGAAAGAACAGGACTGGAAATCAGGAATAGAATATAGGAACAATAAAGTGGGTTTGTCATCTGCTTCAATTTTGCACTCGTCGGTGAGGCTTTTGTGTTCCAACATGAGCCTTAGGAACAGGGTGAGGTGCACATCATCAGAACATGCCAGCAACCAGAGTCAGGTGTGTGGACCAAGGCTTGAGACCTCACACCTCTTTTTAAAAAATGGATCTCGGGCAGCTGGAAAACCTTCTGTCTGAATCTTTAGAGAGCAGCTTCTAATCAGAGTGGGAAACGCCGATGAACTGGATGGTCCAAAAGTGTGACTCAGTGTAAGGCAGCTTCACATGTCTGAGGCCATATACACACCATAGATTTAAAGCAAATTGGGCCTCCCCATAGACTACAGTGGTACCTCAGGTTACAAATGCTTTGGGTTACAAACACTTCAGGGGGCAGACTCTGCTAACCCGGAAGTAGTACCTCGGGTTAAGAACTTTACCTCAGGATGAGAACAGAAATCGTGCGCCAGCGGCATGGCGGCCGCAGGAGGCCAAATTAGCTAAAGTGGTACCTCAGGTTAAGAACGGTTTCAGGTTAAGAGCGGACCTCCAGAACAAATTAAGTTCGTAAGCAGAGGTACCACTGTACTGGGAACTGTAGTTTATTAAATGTGCAGGGGGTGGGGTGAAAATGTGCTTTAAGAGTAGGGTGTGTGTGCAGCCTGTGTGTATTCACTGCACCTATCATTTATAGCAATGAGACTGCCAAAACTCCACACAATATGTCCATCCTACCAAAAGATACAAATTCAGGTCAGAACAAGACTCCATAGGTGCTCCACAGGTACCACTGCTAAGGACCTTGTGTTAGTTAACCTGTTTGTGCTGTATGTAATAGAGAAAGCCAATATCCAACATTCTAGTAGAGTTTCTCTCTCTGTTATTGATGATAGGAACCTCACAGAAGATACCCTAAACTTAAACTGCCTTTCGTCTAGGCATTCAGAGACTTACCTAAATTCATCATAATCAATAGTGGTGGTGTGTTGAGGATCAGCAGCTGCAAAAATCTGCTTAATCTCTCTTGATCGAGGTTCTCCTATCGCCTTCAGTTTGTCCAAAATTACGCAGATATTGGCCATAGGAAACTGTAAAGAAAGGGTCCAGGTGAGACTAACAGAACATATATTTAATACATACAAAGTACTAATGCACAGCAGCTTGAAAACTACAGTAGCTAGTTATTCATATCCTTTATGACAAAGACATGCATTAGTTGCATTATATTTGCATTATTTTTAAAACACCAGCACTGAATCCCTAAGTAGCTTTTATAAAAAGTTTTCAAAGTGATGCCAAGCTCAACCTGAGAAAATCAGTGCCAGTCAAAGACATTGTGCTGCATAAGATGTGGCACCCCCTCCACATACGGAAGCCATTTGGACTTGTTGCAGAATCTTACTTCAGCACCGGAAATGGAACAGCATTCACCATTTGGGGATCTTGCACAACAAATCAGAACGAATGTTCAATAAATAGTGGTTGGCATCTAATCTCCCTGCAAACTTTGCTCAAGCACATCAGGATGAACATTCAATAACAGGTTGTCTGGAAGTGACCCTAATGCAACTTTATTGAAACATGGCTATTTCATTAGAATACGTTATAACCCATAACATACGACTTTTTAAAAACAGTGTCCTTAGTGCTGTACTATCTTTTTCAGGATCCTAATTTTATCTCTATTTGGTTGTTCTTTCTCCCAAGGGCTCTCCTTTGTGGAGAAGGAACCATAACAACTATCAGATGTTCTTATGGATTTTGTTTGGTTAACTTCGACTCCTTTATCTTTTGCACGGGAAAATTAACTGGTACAGTGCAGACTGTATCAGCAGTTCTCTTTTTTGCTTTTGCTGATTTATTCTTCCAGGAACAAAGGCAGGATTAGGACATTATGAAAGTCAATCTGCGAGCCTGAATCATCAGGCACAAAGTGCACTCCATGACATTTACCAAAGACATTATTTGGTATGTATCTCGCAGAGAACAGGTTGAGAACATGGACCCGTTTTTCTCACCGGGTCGTTTTCAAATGAGACAACGGTGGCTCTGTGTTGATCTTGGGGGTGAATAAACAGTGGTTTTCAGAGCCACCATTATTTAAGCAAGATAATAAAACTCCATATGCTTTAAAGGCCAAATAAGGATTGGAAAGCACAGCTTGCCTCATTTGCATGTTTCTCCATGTAGTTGAAAGCATACTCATCAGCATCCACCAAAAGAAAGACGTGTCCATGGAAACACACTTTAGCTCCGACATACAGATCCTTTGCTGTGTAGTACTCAGACAGTTCAGCCTTATATAGCTCTTGCCCAGGCTTCTTAACACGACCTCTTTCCAGGAATTTCCCACCAATTATCCCTGTAACAAGAGAACAATAAATAACAAGTTATATATTTCAGAAAGAAACCAAAGAAACTGCACCCTCAAATTTCCTATCAGCCAACTGGCCATACCACAATATTTATTTCCTGCTTTAAATGCAGATTCCTTGATATGGCCATTTCAGTGTCTGACAAAGGAGTTTCTCATCCTTCCTCCCACCCACAACAGCTAAGTGCATCCCTCATAAAGTTTCTTCTGTGGGTTGGGAATGGTGTGGGATGTGGTACAGGAGCCTGCTGGGAAGGAAGATGAACGTGACCCACTGATTTCAATGGGTTGGATTCCACATTATGTTAACTTAAGGAATTCCTGGAAGTAGAGGAATGGGAAACTTTCCTTCCATCAATTTCTTTAAGTTATCTTATCATCCAAGCCTAAGGTGATTGCCATCAGTCACACATTGTTCAGGAGTGTTGCCGGCCCTCAGGAGGTTTTTCAAGGGGCTCCTGTGGCTGAAAGGAGATGGGAAACTTTCCATGCATAAACTTCCCTAAGTTAGTTTATCCTAGAATCCAAGTCATTGAAATCAATGGGGAAAGTTAGTTATCCCTGACCTTTGGGCCATGCAAGCTGGGCTGATGGAAGCTCTGATGAACATGTGGGGGTACCACCTGGTCAACCCCAGATTTACTAGGTACTTTTATAGTCTGCCATTTTCCATTGTGGAATGGAAGTCTTTATGCTCTCAGGGAGTCCACTATCCAGGCACCGACCCAACCAGAGACCCTCTTAGCTTTCAACTAAGTGGCTGCTGTAGCATGTGCCCTCAGATCATTCCCTTGGACATATAATACTTTGGGCTGAACAAGCAGTACATGAACTCTGGTATGCCTGTGGTTCATTTCCTGCTTATATCTGCGCTCCCAACCGAAAGCCCCAAAGCATGCATTAGGCATCATAAAATGTTTCATATGTATTATTTGGTGATATAAGTGTCGTAAAAAGGGATGGGCAATACAATGAAATTCCATTTAGAGTCCAAATTATAAGTAAATGCAGAACCTGTAATGCTTTATTCAACCTGAGTTTGGTTCAGAAATCTTCCTTTCACAATAAAACTGAAAGGTGAAAAATCCATTAAGGTAAAATTCAGGATCTGACTTAAGCCTGTAAAAGCATGAAAATTTAAGAGTCAAGAATAGAAGCCAGGTCACAACAGCTTCCTCCCATCTAGTTACTGATGCACATAAGACCATCAGTTTGAGCAGACAGCTGCATTATCTAGTCAACAAAAGCTTTTAATGCCATTATTGGTTCTGGGTTTCTTCACTTAGAGACATTTACTTTCTAGCAACTATAAAATAATTTTTGCAATGAAAAAATATATGGAAAAATAAAACCAATTATTCAGAAGGCACTGACAAAGACAGCACAGCCCAAACTACTCTCTCTCTCTCTCTCTCTCTCTCTCTCTCTTTCTCTCCCACTAGTGTAAGGATCTGGGAGGTTGGAGAAGGTGCGGTATTTTGTTTTCAGAAATACAGCACAACACAAAGTATACCATCTTGTTTACCCGAGCACAAACAGCACCTAGGAAAGAGTTTCTATCACTTCCTTTTGTTGCAATTGCCCAGAATGTTGGAGTATACCAGACCCAACCTTCTTGTATGAATTTTGAGGGTGATGATAAACAAGTCTGTCCCCATTCCTATCACCACTAGCTGAAGAAAGAATGGCTACTAGTCTTATCAGCTGTTATCACAGATGGGGAATTTGTGGCCTTCCATATGTTGGTCTTAGTCTGAACTCCCGTCATCCCCAACCAATGGCCATGCTGCCTGGGGCTGATGGGAGTTGGAGTCCAATGACAGCTAGAGGGGCACTGGCTCCCAATCCCCGGGCTATCCGATGGCAGTAAATGTCTCTGAACACCAATTGCTGGGAATCACAAGTTGGGGAGAGGAGTATTGTGTTCAGGTCCCACTTTCAGGCTTCCCAGAAGGATCTGGTCAGCCAAGCACAGGAGTCTAGAAAAAGCCAGAAGCAAGCTCACACATCCCTTAGGATTGCCATTTTCATTGCCAATGGAGCCTTCACCCTAGCCTTCACACACCAGCAAACTACCCAACCTATTGTCAAGTCTCCCAACCCGCAGGCAGTACCCCCATCTTGAAAAATATGCACAGCTGCCTCTGAGGCAAAAGGGGCAACAAAGTGCACCAGGTAATTATCATAAACACTGGGAGAGAAAAGGGTATAATCCGCTTCCATCACCCCTGCCCCACCTACAGTACCAACAATGAACCATCATCCAAATCCAACAGACTCTACCACCTGCGATCCATTTAGGCCTGGGAATTGCAGTTGCATTGCGTAATCTCCTTAAAAGCTAAACTGCATTAAATTCTCAGACCACCAATACATTACTGAAGCATCAGGAAAGTGCACCTAAATTTGCTTTTCCCCGCCCCCCATACAGCATGCTGCATATTAAATGCCCATACAAAATCAAGGACTCTTTTGCTACCATGGAAAATGGTGGGTTTCAGTTTAGACATCTCTATCCAATTACGCAGTTTATGGCCAGAGACAGCAAGAGCTTTTATTGGTGATTAACACCTGAATCAGAACAAATTGGGGGGGGGGGCTGACCAAATTGGAGGAGGAGGAGGCTACCACAATTACATACCATACAGATACTAACCAGAGGACATGCAGCCTCTGAGGTTGTGATTTTACACAGCCTTGTATTTAAGGATTTGCCTGGTAGCGATAGGATCTCTCCCCATCATAGAAACGCCCTCCTTTCTTCCTCTGCTAGCCCCCAACAGACTAGCAAAACATTATTCTGCAGGGCAGGGACTTTTGTAGGCTTGTAGACAAGACTGAATAGCAACCTGTGTGTCCAGGGCATACAAACATGCTACAACAATTTGGGTTTTTAGAAATCAGCAAATGTTTAAAGATTCCTGCACATTCAAGTCTTCATCCTCAAAGGAGTTTGGCCACTGCGTCTCTGCATGATCCATTGTTATGCTGGCACTAGTTCGTTCCAATCCAGCTCTGCTAGGGGTAGGTAATCCTGGGATGGTGCTACCATTTCTAACACAACAGGTCTGCCTGCCTTCAAATGTGTGTGCCTTGTGTGTCCCTATACGAGTTATTTCTCACATTTATTTCCGCCCAACTGACGAAGGTTGTGATCCTTTAATATAAATAAATAACTAAGGCCCTCTGCCCTTTTCACTAGAATTACCTAGAACTGAATCTGCTCTCTCACCTGTATTTCGCTGGGGAGGCTCAAACACTTGAATGGTGTCATCACTCAGATAATAAGAAACAATGAACTTCCGGTCTTTGTCAATGGGATCAGTAGTAATAAATTGTGCAAGAAATCGCAGTAAATTACTTTCGAGGCCTTGCCTGTAATAGCAGAAGAGGTACAAATTCAAGATGTGTCTCCTTTTCCTTTACATGGAGAAGTCCTGCCATTTGTTTAGTAAAACAATTAAAAAGTTAACAGTCTTTGGTCAACTTTTACATCAGTTTGAACCACTGAGAAGATTGCCATTACCCATGCCCAGGTTTTGCCTTTAATGAGTTTGTTTTTGTGTTTCCAAACACATTTTTGTTTGGGGGGTGGGGCAGAATAACCAACCTAAGCTTAAGCAGTAGCAAAATATCAGAAGCTGTTTACATTCTACAAAGTGTTCACTCTGTGAGGTAGCTGATTAAAAAAGCAGCATACAATTTTACAAACTAAAGCAATAAATTGTAAATGGTACTCTAATAACAATGGATTCTATACCACACCAGACAAGAAACACATGATTTTATGGATCTGGAGTTACTTGGCAGGACACGATCACACACTACCCCCCGCCCCTGCTCAGGTGAGGTACCAATAAAGGAGACCATACAGTTGAATGGGATCAAATCAGGCCACGACTTTATTGCCTACAGATGAAGTGGTTTGACATAGACATTGGGTATGCATTTTTTTCTGGGCTGCCTACCAGAAATGACATCAGGATCAACCCAGCAGCAGGGATTCCTATGACTTACATCAATTAGGGGGATCCCCGCCTCTAAGAGTGCTAAGGCCCAAGCCCCCCGTCTGGGCAAATGGTCAGAAGCAACTCCATCACGGATCCCTTTAACAGGGTACCCTATTTCTGGAGGGGAAGGGGAGGGTACAACCCCCCCACACACACACCAAGGCTAAAAATCCCCCGGGTCTTGTGCTGAGCTTGAGCCAACAAAGCCCAGCAACTGTGATCCCACAAAGAAGAGCTGGGCATTGGGGGCTGGTGTGAGCTATTTTAAATCCCTCAGGAGTGGGCCTGAGGGAAGCCTGATTGTTCCCGAGAGCCTGTTCCCTGAGAGCCCAGCCCTCCGCACCACTGGCCAATTTGGCAGGCTGAGCAGGATTTCAAGCCAGCAGTGGGAGCTGAAGCTCGTGCTCCGGCAGGGATCAGACCCCGACACCCAGCCCTGCATCGTCAGCAGGAGGGGAGGCACTGGCCGTCCCACAAAGCTGCCGCACCACCAAAAAGGGGGTAAGCGGACATGCCTGGGCTCTCCCTCCATCATTCTGCTAATAAAAACTCCCAAGCAAACCATAGTAGCACAGAAGCACTGATTCCAAAAAAAGTTTAACAAAACCCAGAATCCCTTACAAAACTGATAAAGCATCACTAGGCAGCACAGCATGTGATTAGACAGTGGAAACAGGAAAAGTAAATGGGAAAACAAAGGAAGGAGAGAGCAGCATCCCTCCCCCATTACATACTGGACACTAGTGTGTCACTATCGTGGTTCTTGTTATCTCTTTTAGAGCTAAGCCTTTGAGATTCATGAAAACAGGCATGCATGGTAGGAACTCAGACTCTAAATTCTGAAAATCTATTATCTGCTTGACTCATAAGAATTATGAATATTACAAAGCCCTTTTGTAAAATTGGTTGACATAAAAACGTTTAATGGTAATTTCCCTCCCCCTCTCACTTTCCATTTCAGGAATCGAGGGGAGGGGTAGGTTCCAAATATTGCCTTTGCTCAGGTACCTGTCTTTTTCCATGAATTTCTTGAAGTCTTTTTGGGGTGGTTTGGGAAGCAAGCCCGTGCAGGAGCAAAGGGAGTCCTCTTCAGAGCCAAATCCATGATACGGTGGGAACTTTCTTTCGACTTTCGGAGGAGGTGGCGCTTTGTACGGAATTGGAGTAAAGTCCTCTGTAACACAGAATTGGCAACTGACATTTTACTGTTCAGTTCCTGAATATGTTAAGAATGGCTCTGCATTTCAAGATAGGAGGTCTCAATCTAAGGAAACAAAATTGTTCTCCCCTTTTGGCAGATATATTTCTTAAGAATAACGTGTGCATTTTAGAAAAGCAAATGTTTCCCCTAAACAGGAAAGCCCAATTTTGAAAATATTTTTCAAGTTGTTTCCTCTGGGAGCATACTGTGATTGATATTTTTCTCTGCTTTCTGTCAACTTCTCTCTATGGATGGGAAAAACCGAAATGTTTCCGTGAGCCTTGGGAGACTGCCAACAAACAAAAGTCCTTCTTATCTTTGCAATGGGCTCAGCCTTTTCAAACCTGTCTTTTCCACTCTGTGTTCTTTTCTTAAATGCTGCCTTAATCCCGGTGAATTGATCTGCACTCATCTCATAAACATAATTTACTCGTTGACATCATTACCATAGTCAACAATGTGTAACTTGCATGGGAGCACCCAACCTTTTACACAGTGACGGCCGGGTTAAATAAAACTATTTGGGGGTTAAGCCAATTCATTTCCATTGAGTTCACTTGGTTTATATCAGTACATTTTTGCTGTTTAAAAATAATAATCATGGACAGACATCCACACATGGCGGTTGAAAAAAACAAACAAACAACCAGATCTGAGAAGGATGCGTGTGCAGAATTAGAAAGTAATGGTGGGCATGTGTCCTTTGAGAAGAAAGAAATGTAGCGTTTTCCAATGTATGGGTAGCCGGGTGCATCTGGGTTTCAGGGCTTGCATAACAAATATGACTCTGATTACAATCTCTCTTGCATACCAACAGTGCCATCTAGTGCAACGCTAGCGGATGCACTAAAGAAAACTTGCATGTTGAAATGGCGTCCCAAAGGAGGCCAAAAAAGCGGATGGACTGGGGAACTGCTAGCTTTCCTCCTACCAGGCAGTTCACAGACTACACTGGCTTCAGTCTGAGATAGGGATATATTGTTCAATGGGCCCTGAATTAAGAGAAGCTGCTTTCCTCCCCCAGGAACATTTTTGCCACTTTGCTTGCTCGGGAGGTGGGTAGTGACAAAAGCCTTCCCCCAAAGCAGCCGCAGATTGCCTTTAGCAGAAGGATGCCAGGTAGAAACACCGAGGAATTTTAGAGACAAGGAGGTATAAACCCTAGCAAAAGTTAACAACCTTTTAGTACCACCTATCTGAATTATTTAGGGTGATGCTTAAATCTCCAACTGCATTCAATGATAATTAAAAGGGCTGAACTTTAACTGGATGAATCTGCTATTTTCATTTTTCAGTCTTAAGTGCAGTAAGCCCACACTTCCACATCAGTTTATGCTTTTTATCATTATTAAAGTGCTCCCCAAACTTCATATGCATTTTAGTGCACATTCCTCCTAATACAAAGATGCATAAAATCATGCATGGTGTGGTTACAGAGACAGATTTTCTCCCTCACTTGTAATATTAGAACTCGTGGACAGTGAAACTTAGTGTTGGAAGATTCAGAGCAGACATCAGGAGGTACTTATTTACACTTGTTGGCATCCATCTGTCTCAAAAGACAATGCAGTGCACTTCCAGGGGCAAAGTCAAACCACTGGAGTATCACAGCACCCATTGTGGCTGCAGAGACCAGTAACTCATAACTGCTGCCTCCCACATTGTTTTTGCTGCTTTGGCAGCACTGAAGTTATCTCTCTGGGGCACAAGCCTGGGCAGAGTGTATGGAGGTCCTGGACTGCCCAGACGACAATTCCCCCCTTTTGGCCTCGCTGATGTGGTCCAGTATGCCATCTACTTCCTCGCCTAAGTAATCAATGTTGAAACTTATGTCAATCTAATCCTGAAATAATTGCTGGGTTAACTTATATAAATAATTTACCACACATAGATAGGAGCAATCTAGGTAAAAGTAATTTATACTGCATAAGAAAAACTGCATTATATGCAGATTTAAGTATATTTACTCAGAAGTAAGTTTCATTGATTTCAATGAGACTTACATTCAAGGAATTATGTTTAGAACTGTAGTTCCAATCAGCAATATATTCAGAAACTGATTAGGGGTGAAGTCAGCAGAGAAATATTTCCCCCCTCAAACTGTAAAGTTATCCTGACATTTTCTAAAGTAATGAAAATATAACAGCAAATGACAACAGAAATGCCAGTAGATTTAGTGCAATCTGTGATAATTAGGATTTCACAATAGTACAATCAACTTGTTATTTTCTCTAAGCAGTGATGTTTTTAAAAGAATGTGACAGAGAACAGCTTTAAAAAGATTAGTTAACATATATCTCTGTGCTGAACACATCTGTCATCTTTTGGTGAGTGGAGAAATTTTCGTTTTTGAACTCAAGTAATTTCTTGTCAGAGAGATAATGCATGGCATTTTGCCAAAAAAACAAAGCAAAACTTCCAATATATCCATCACATGCAAATATATAAACACTGGCTTTAAAAGATTACTCCAATTTATAGTGCATTAAAAATAGAGTTGTTGGGAAATTATGCCTCGAGGGGAATCCACGCAGCCCCAGATTTTGTGGGGAAATGTAGTAACATCTGCCTAGAGTTCAGTTGTGTTCCAGAGGTTTCCCGTCACCTGGAATTCACTAGAAGCCTCTAATCATGAGGGTGCATAGGAAGCTGCCTTGCGCTATTTGTAATCTAGCCCAGTATTGTCTTCTTTGACTGGCAGAGGACTTTCCCATCGCCTTCTAACTGACCTTTTAACTAGAGATGACAGAGGTTAAACCTGGAACCTTCCGCATGCAAACCAGGTGCTCTAAAACTGAGCTATGGCCCCTTCCCATAACCCTGTGGTGGGCTGATAATGTAATCAGCTATTTACATCGTATCTTTTGTACCCTGACATAATCTGTCCAGAGGTGAGTACAGTGCAGATTCTGCTCTTCCTCCTGTCCCCAATGAGTTATTTATTTCATGTTGCGTATATTTATGATCCACCCTTCACCAAATGGTCCCCCAGGGCAGGAACGTACACATAGCATTAAAACTAAGTTTTATGTTGTTTCAAAGCTATCGGTCGGGGCAGGCCCTATGTATCTGGTGCAGCCGACAGCAAGTGTGAAGGGCACAGATTTGTCCCGCCCGTGCACAAGAACTTCTGTCTGCCCACAAAAGGCTTCGTTCAGAACAGAAGTCATAAATACGTAAACTTGCTCAGATCAGTCACAAATGCCTGGCGTAAAGAGATGGTTGAGAGTAGCAATCAGGTTAGAGAATTGCCAGGCGGGGTGGTAAATGAAAAAGAGGTCATATATGTAAAACTGATTTGCAGAGCAATGAACTCTGGCTGGCACTTGTGAGACCAAGAAAGTCCATCTTTCAAGCTCTCTTCTTTCCTCCTGTTACTTTGGCTCACACAAACAGAGCCCTCATGTGAGCAGTTAAAAACTTGGTCACCACAGGAAATCATGTATGAGGTGGCTATGATCCCTAAAACACACAGTCAGTTCAACATAATTAATATTTTCCCCCTAGCATATTTTAAAACGCTTTGTTGATCCAAATTCTCTCTGTGTGTGTTATTACTCAATACAGTGCCTCAGTACAAGGACCTGGTCCAGATTCCAATGAAAGAAATGTAATACCACTGAGTGGAATTCAACTAAGTTTTAGACAAAGTAGACCCGCTGAAATTAATGGACATGACCAGGTTAGGTCCATTCATTTCCATATGTCTACTCTGAGTAAAATGTTGTTGAATACCACTCACTGCTTTTAATGGTTCTGGATAGCATCCTTCTGCTCTAATCTAGCAGTTGGTATCATCAGTGGTAAGACTAGTAAAGCCTTCTCCATCCATTTAAATAGTGGACCCATATCTGCATTGTACAAGTGGAGCTGTTTTATTTGCTGAAGCAACTAAGGCAGCCAAAACTGCAGGAATTCCATTATTCCTTCACTGGGCATAATCTACATTTTTGTTTCTTACTAAATATATTGTTTACATAGATTTCAAACCTAAACCTGTCCTAGGAATACAAAACTACTCAAAAATATTTTTACCAAAAAAAAAAAGACACACACCCCAAAAAAATAGCCACTCCATGTAAATCTACAGTTCAAAATTAGTACATAAAAGTAGCAGTACTGTTACTTACTGACTCCATACTTTGTCCTATAATATTCTTTGGTAAATTCATCACAATCGCAGAGAACTATCTTTCTTCCCCAAACATTGATTACTGACCCGATGCTCAGGTCACAGTCTTTATAAAATTCTTGGTGCACTGCTCCTGTCTAGCAATGGGAAGGAAAAATACAAAAGTCTATATGAATCTCACATTGAAATGAAAGCTTTTTGGGGAAGTGGAAACTTGGCATAACATAAAAGAGGTGAGTGTAACAAAATGTTTTATTTCACCACCACCACCACCTTTATTCCAACAAATGCTATAATACAGAAACAGAAACATTGGATTTTGTGGTGTGCATATTATTATTTTTTAAAAAGGAATCTTGCTTGCCTCACATAGCACATACGTGGAGATCAGAAACAAATAAAGTTGCATTCTGTAAAGTATAATTACAGAAACTAGCTTACCTTACGATTGTCCAGAATGTAACGGCCTTTATTTCCTACTAATCCTCCAAACACATTCAGGACTGTCCGATCTGTGATTGTACCAGGCTGGTACAGTCCAATTGGACCATACTGGGGGCCAGGGAGGGAGAGGAATAGGCTGTTAATATCTGTAACTATCAGGGCAACATAAAAGAATATCCTGCATTATCTGGTACCTGAGGCTCTACAAAATACGAGATCACCTAAAGCCAGGTCAGGCTACCTGTCCACCTGGCACAGCACTGCCTACTCAAGCAGAGGTCTTTTGCATCACCTGCCACTGATACTTTCAGCTGGAGATGCAAGAAAGTGAACTTGAAACCTTCTGCCTGCAGCACATATACCACTGAGCTATGATCTGCACTCTTATTCCATATCACTATTATCTTATTTATTTCCTTATATTTCTATATATTTCTTATATTTCTATATATTGTATTTTTATATATTTATATTATACTGTCAGAGCTGGCTCCAGGTCCCAGCTCACAGAGGACCAACGCTAGCCGGCAGTAATGTACAAAAGTCTTTATTGAAGTACAGTTTCCATTTTCAAGCCGCAGCGCCCCAGCTCTACGTCTAGGGGTTAGATCGGCGAAGCTCCATCTGAGTCTCCGCCCCTGTACACCAGTTTAAGATTCTAGCCTTACTCCACCTCTTACGTCTCTCCTTTCTCCTCTGGGTCCTGCTACCCCCGGGTCCCTTCCTTCCTGGATTCTTCTGACGCTGACGTTGACCCCCATGACTCCTCCCCCTCCTTTCGGCGGGCTTTGGGACCTGGCTCCCTATCCGGGCTGCCAACTGCGCCGCCCTCCTGTACATTTGAACTCGGCGCGCGCGCCCAGCCTTCAACCTTCCTCTCGACCGTTTCCTCGCTCCCCGATGGAGGCGTGGCCAATCCTGACTCATGTCCTCCCACTGGCAGTGCGCCGCCTGATCCCGATGCCTGGGACCCCTCCCCTACTGCACTCTGGTGTGGACGCTGGTCCTGATTTCCAACTGCTGCTCTCTGAGTCCCCTCTGGCCCCTTCTTCCTGGGGTGTCCCCTCGGCACCCCCTTGCTCTGACCAAGGGAGCCCCTTTCTGTGAATCTTCCGATTCGCTGGAAAGACTCAGAGACCTCGGACCGCTGTCATCGCTAACATTTCCTTCGGACTCCTCCCCCTCGCTCTCTATTTCCTCCCTTTCCTGTGCCTCTGCTCCTGAACCCCTGACATATACGTTTCTATATTTTCTAATATTTATATTAGCTTATTTATTTTCTTACATTTCTGCTTTCTCTTACAACCTAAGGTGGCATAATGTGGTTTCCCTTTCTAAACCACTGAGCCTCATGGGCTTGCTGATCAGAAGGTCGGTGGTTCAAATACCCGTGACGGGATGAGCTCCTGTTGCTCAGTCCCTGCTCCTGCCAACCTAGCAGTTCAAAAGCCCCTCAAAGTGCAAGTAGATAAATAGGTACTGCTGCAGTGGGAACGTAAATGGCGTTTCCGTGCGCTCTGGATTCCATTACAGTATTCCGTTGCACCAGAAGCGGCTTAGTCATGCTGGCCACATAACCCGGAAAAACTGTCTGCGGACAAACATCGGCTCCCTTGGCCTGAAAAGCGAAATGAGCACCGCAACCCCAGAGTTGAGGGGTCCTTTACCTTTACCTTACCCATCCAGGTACTCAATAGACCTAAACCTGCTTAAAATAACCAAGGTGGGAGCCTCAAGTACCTTCAGACCACGCCCTGGCCATGCTGAATATAATGATATACGTGAGCTTCTGAATCCACTGTGGTGTTACCACTGACATCAAAGGCCAAGCATGATAAAGGAATAGATGGGTGAGATCTGCGGCTATTGCTATGCAGGCAACAGAACTAACAGGTCATAAAGGATATTTCTGAATTATGAATTAAGCCACTAAGAGATTTTCACAAAGCCAAAATTCAGTGTCACCGCTTGCATCCCATTCTACATCATAGTAGAGGCTCCTCCTGCAGTGCCCCCAGGGCTCTGCACCCAATGCAACCAAACCAGTCTCACTCCCCTAAATTCACTTCTGGGAACAGATTAGAAACTACCTTATACTGAGTCGAATCATTGGTCCACCCAGCTCAGTACTATAAATAGTGACTAGCAGTTGCTCTCCAGGATTTCAGACAGGGGTCTCTACCAGGTCTACTCAGAGATGCTGGGGATTGAACCTAGGACTTTCTGCATGTAAAGTAGATGCTCTACCACTGAACTATGGCCCTTCCTAAAGTAGAACTTTCCAACATGGGGGGAAACTCTTAGCCTCCCTGCAAAAGTGGTCTTGACTTTTACTCAGGGAAGCTGATTAGTCACTATGGATAGCAGGGTGCTGGACTCAATGGACCTTTGGACCTTTGGCCTGATTCAGCACCGCTCTTCTCATGTTCTATTCATGGAAATGAATAGAACATGGACCACAGGTGGGTAGTTGGCACCTAATACACCCCAGTCATCTTAGGAAACAAATGAATAATGACTACCACCCATAGTTTTCATATATATATAATTTACCTTGGGTAGCTTCTTCCTATTGAGGAATAAAGGCACGGCATCCCGACCTGAATTCAGTGGTATCACTTCTTTTATTTCAATGGTGTCATCAGCCAAAAAATAATGTAGCACCACTTCTCGGACATCCCCAAACATGCTTTCAGTGTCATCCCAAACACCGTAAAAACGTAAAACGTGTCCGTCATGCTCCAGAAATTGTTGAAGTGTATCAAAGCGCTCATATGGACGTAAAGGTTTCATACTATCTATCAACTGCAGGTCAGGAGAGAAGAGATGAAAGCTTTTCTTATGTACAGAAACATCTAGTTTTCATGATAAGCATTATTTCTAAACATTTCAGCAGCTTTTAAAAATGTATTCCTTACAGGAGCCACAAGGGTTGGAGCCAGGAACGCCCACTCTCTGTTGCTCCTTGTGACGAGTCATTCAGGATTTTCACAATGCTGGGGTACATGTCAGTTGGGTTAGGCAGGTGGAATATATGCTCAATGTAAACAAGCATCTGAATAACACTTTCACATTAAAACAGTTTCCGTAAAGTGAGGTGCTTGAAATCCACTTTTAACACCAACTTATAAAACTGAAAACCCTCAGTAAATAGCAATACTTCTATGACTACCTTACCATCAGGCGACATTTTATTTTTAGCTATGTAATTACCTGTGGAAGGGGTAAAAGGTATGGCTTTTTTTCTTCCTGAAGTTTGTCCTCCCCATATAAAACAATACTAAACAATAAACTAAACTGTGCAGTCCTTATTAATCAACTGGGGGGTTTTCTGTTCTCAAAGGGGACCTGTCAGTATTCTTTAAAATTATTAATTTAACTTGTTAGATCAGGGAGAGCATGAAATGGAGATGGCAGAGAGAAGGACAAAAGAGAGTCAGGAGCGGTGGGTGGAAGGGCTGGGAAAGAAAATATGTGAAGAAGAAATTGTTCATGTCCGGAGCTGGAACATCCTAGTGATGAGACAAAACAGCCTATGGGAAGTCCATGGTGCCCTCCAGAAGTTGTGGACTACAGCTCCCATCAGCCTCAGCCAGCATGGTCAACACCAGGGATGAGAGTTGTAATCCAAAACACCTGAAGGTTACCACATTGCCTACCCCTGCCCTAGGCATTGTACAAGTAGCATCAGAATAAGCTTGTGTACTTTCAGAAGGCTGAACTTTTACCTTCAAATTACAATGAAATAAACCTGGGTGAATTGGGGGCAGAGGAAAGGAAGAATGAAGGAAGCACAAAGCAAAGAGAACTACCTCCACCTTCTAATTTCTTCAGAACACTTAATGCTGATATTGTGACATCACAGAAGCAAAATGCAGAAGGGGCAAGAGGAAGACTGGGAAAGGAGTCGAGGAGGAAGCAGGGATCCAAGATAAGAAGGGATGGGAAAGGAGATCTTTTTGCCTCCCTATCAGCACACGGGTCCCAGCCACTGGTTAATCTGCCTTGATGTTGCAAACTCGAAAAGTAATCATCATAAAACATTAAAAACTAATGCAACAGCTGTGAGGAAAGAGAGAATTTAGTTTAGTTGGGAAGGACGTAAGTGGTAGGAGAGCTGTGGATATAGCAGGCTAATAGCCAAAGCAGTGTAGTAAATAAGAGCTCTGGACTTTGGCCAGGAGGAGCTGAACTAAAATCTTTTTGCTCAGCCATGAAACTTAGTGGGTGGCCTTGGACAAGTCACTATCTCTCTGTCCATTGCACAAAGTTGTCGTGAAGCAAAAGTGGAACAAATTCCAGGTAAACCAGCCTATGCTCCTTGAAGGAAAGATGGAATAAAAGCATGATGCAAGTAATAACCTAGATGATGTCAGTACTCTGAGGAAAGTTTCTCACAGGGCCTGGGGACCTGAAAGTGCTGCTAAAGGGAATGAGTATACAGAGTGCAGGGACTTTGAATTTCACAGACAGACAATAAATCATTATACCTTGTATTATAGATGACCATAACAAACCGATATTGCTGTTGTTAAACAGATATTTCACAAGATACAAAGAGATGAAGACATAAAAAGTAACAATATGGTAGGTGTTCACTTGGTAGAGGGGGGAAAACAACCCATAAAGAAGGTGAATCTAGGGTGCCACCATTGAGAAGGCCCTTTCCCTCACTTCATTTGGTGGGAACACACAGAGCAAGTTTCCCATTATATGGGGTTTATGGATTGCTTGTGTTTATTTAATTCATTGCTCATTGCTACATGTACATCTCCACTTTTCCCTTCAAGATGGCATGCATGGTTTTAACCCCCACCCCATTTCATCCTCCTAACAACTCTGTGAGGTAGTTTAGGCTGAGAGATGATCACTGGAACATGTTCACCCAGTGAGCAACATGGTGAAATGGAGATTTGAATCTGAGCCTCCCAGATCCTTGTCTAACGCTCTAAACACCACACCACATCAGTGTTATTGACTACTACTATGCTTTTCATGTCTTTCTTCTGTGTCTAATTTTTATGTTGTCTTTCGGGGGGCGATTGTTCTTTGTAACTTGCCTGTTTTATTGATAACAGATTTAAGTTTAGTTTTCAAGAAAAGTGGAGTATAAATGCCAACACACAGAGCTAAAATATACTACAGGCGCCACTCACTTATCAGTGAAATATACTGTTGAAGGAGTTATATTCTACAGTGCATTATTATAACAGAGAGATGAACAATTCTCTAAATCTGCCATGGACTGACGCAGCAGTCCTCCTGGAGAATAGATCACAGTTAGATTTGCCCGATTTAGCTGGGCTTAAGATATACATTCCCAGTCAGTTATTTTACATGCCAGCTAAAACACCAAGTATGGTAAATAAATAACAATGGCAATATAAATAGAAATATAGCTTCCCCAGCAGTTGTTATATGCAGTTCAACTAAAAACAGTTCCATCACAATTCCTTTTAGAGACAGAGGAACGGATAAGGGAGGAAGATTAACAATGCAATTCCATACATGTCTACTAATAACTACCTACATGTCTTACTCAGAAGTAAACATACATACAGGAGATTGCACTGTAATCCAAGTAAGGCAATATAAAGCTATGCTCTGTGGCTTATTGTCATCATTTTGCAGTGCAAAATATTTTTATTTATTTATCAAAATTTGCAGTTCGCAAAGGACAAAGGATCACCACCCTCTTCCTACAGTTTCTGATTCCTTTTGCCTCATGTCATCCTGCAAAAGAACTGTAGTGCTGGCATAAGACAGGACAAACAATACCATAGAAAGTGGCATTAAATGCATCTAAACGTTACTAGTATCAATATGCTTAAACTAGGATCACAATAAAATTTGCCATTCAGAAGGTTGCCATTCAAAAGTCAGATTGTTGTCATCCCAAAATATATTTCAAATTGGAACTATAATAATTCTGCATGTTCATGCTAATGTTTTAGACTACAGCTAGGTTTCTGACAAACGACACTGAAGGTCATCAGTAAAATGTAGAAGGCAGGTTAAGCTTGGCCAATATATGACAGATCAGGAGATTTATTCTACTTAATCTCTCTCTGGAGTATTTATTTATCACTATGTTTCTCTCCCAGGCTTTAAAACAAACTTGCTATGAATACATTACACCCTCATTCAGCAAAACAAAATGTCTACCAAAACATTCAGTGGGATCAGCAGGAAAACAATTGAATTGGAATTGTACTACAAGGGATATATAGATGGACAAAGCAAAAGTTTCATATACTGGGGGCTTTTTTGCAATTTATTTATTTATTTTAGAGACCTGAAGGCCTACACTCAACAGCTAATTTTGCATCAGTAAGTAAAATCTAGCTCACATCTTCCTGTGACACATTCATTAATTAATTAATTTTATAATGAATGATTTTAGACTGTTGTTTATGCTGTACTTTTGTACTGTTTTATTGTTGTTAGCCGCCCTGAGCCCGGCTTCAGCTGGGGAGGGCGGGATATAAATAAAATTTATTATTATTATTATAACAACTTTACAATGCCTTTCTGGTTCTTGTACCCTAGAACCTAGGTATGCTTTTCCCGCAACACTCAATGACTATCTGCTTTTCCTGGCGGATGCTACCCTGATTTTCAACATTCCATGACTTAATCTCTCTACTCAGGAATAAGAATATATGAGAATATTCTCTGACATCACAGCTACTCAACCTTTGGTCACAAGGGAGTTGCAGAACAGTAGGAAAAATTCCAGCTGCTTATTGCCCGCGTCTCTACAACCCATTTCCCCACAATTATTTCCTTAGCTCTCTGCTTCTATATGTACCTCTTCATAAATGGTTCAATTTCCCCAACCATGTGTTGTCTAGCTGTTACCAAAGAATCTCTTTCCCTCCTCCTCTCACTTCCCATTACTTCACTTCCCATTACTTCAGTATCTCACTTCCCATTACTTCAGCTCTGTAGTCTGAACTTTCTCCTCTTCCAATCTCCTCTTTTCTCCACTCCATTATCTCTTACTACTCTTCCCTTGACACCCATTTCCTATGTCCCTCTTCACCCTTTTCATCATCATCGTTCTTTCTTTGGTCTCTGCTAGCTAAATTCCTTTTTATTTCCCCTTCAGGCTCCATCTTTAGTCCCATACTCCAATCCACTGCTTTATTTTCCAACGTCTTTCCCTAGTTTTCCCTCAGGTACAAGAAACTTAGGTATCCTTTCCCTCAGTTTCGCAGGCCCTCTGGTTCCTTACAGGTATCCTGCAGGATAAACTAGTGCGTTTGTGAAATGAGTGGTTTTCAGCCATAACATGGGACCTTTCCTCATCTCTCCTTTTTTCGTATTGTGCTTATCAGCCCATTCTTCCTTCAGCGACTTGACTTGCACCTCCCTAGATTTCTTATTCATCAATCCCTACTCTATTCCATGTGAACAGAACACAACAATTCCTATCCCTGGGAACTGGATGGGAATCTTTCAGCAACCTCATTTCCTTGGGGCGCCTATGTTGCAACCCCCCTTGCTTCCATCCATCTTTCCCTTAGGTTTCTGCTTCTAAGGCCAAGGGTCGCCTACTAGGTCCTCATCCCTTTATCCACTCTGACACTGGACCATCTTTCAGTTCCCTACCTCCTGTGTCCCCTCCTTATTCAGTGTCCTCTCTTTAGCCTCATTGCCTACCCAGAGCTCCAGTCTCTTAGCCCCACCATCCTGCCAACAGCCCATCATTTCTCCAGCACTTAAGGCCAATGAATCCAGATCTTATGAGCCCACATTAAATCTCCATCAGTTCAACCATATGGGTTACTATCATCTAAATGACTGTTTATCTGACAAGGCTACCCTTGCCATATAATGGTATTATAGACAAGCAGGCATTAGACATCAGTAAACATTCAAGATTATTTTTTTTAGAATTCATCTCTACCAGAAAGAGAGCACATCCCTGTGTCTGCTCTCCTTCTTTTCTGCAAATGGTATTTATGCGAACATGAGATGGGGTACCTATATGTCAACTAGTCACATTTATTACTGAATTAATCAAGATTTTCAGCTCAAACAGCACTGATCTGTATACATAACCAGTTCTGCAAAGGCTCTGGGGAGCTTAAATAATAAACTGCAAAAACCTTTTTGATCATCAGTTGAAAGGTCTCAAAAAGATGGGGAATAGGGTCTGTGTGTGTGTCCCTTTGACCAGAGCAATAAATTGATTAAAGTAACAAATCATATTGCTTTTTCAGGGAGCTTTGGGTTTACTGTTCATTAAACACCATTTTGGATGACAAGTTCATAGCAGGGAATATGGTATATACATTTTAAATAAATAAATTCAAAGAAAAACAATTTCACATAACATGTACTGTACAAGATTGTGAAGTTCAACTCAGAAGGAAGCCTCATTGTGTTCAATGGAGTTTATTCCCAGGTACCTACACAGAACTGCAGTGTTAAAAGATAATTATAAGCATTTTCTTTTCTACTTTTACAGTTTTCACTAATCTGCTGTTCAATATTTATTTACACATGACAGCAGTATACTATATAAATGCACCTTATTTCACAATAGCCACTAATGTCTACCGATTACAGTAGTATGCTATGCACAAAGCAAAATGAAAGAAGGAAACCAGATTTTAACAGTCTCATTCATCACCGGATGAATTGAAAACACTGGATTTTACATCAATGGTAAATATAACACTATGCAGACACAAATTGCGTGCTATTTTGCATCCATCATCTGCTCTCCATTATGAAGAGAACAGAATTCAAGTCGAGAAATGTGCTCAACAGTTTTAGGCTGAAATCTTATGCACAGTTATCTGGGATCAGCAGTGGCCTGTGTGATGGGGCAGAGCCTTCTCAGCACAAGCATCACTGCAGCTTGCCTAGATGATGCTGAGGCCAGGGCTGCATAGATGCACTGGTAGACTCAATTCAGCAGCTCACACAACTCCACTGCCATCCTACCCCATCCCAGTACCCTCCAGTAGCAGTGACGATGGTGTCAGGAGGATAGCTCTGCAGCTCTGCCCCACCATACAACTTACTGCTTCCTGGGAGGCGTAAGCTCCATTGAATACAATAGATCTAACGTCTGAATAAATATGCATGGGATTGTGGAATTATTACATTATGTGGCCTGTTCAGATAAGCTTTTTACCTTAACCGGCACATTCTGGATTTGTTTTTCTTCTAAAATAAAATAAATTCACAATGTTAACAACTCTGAATTTGAAATCCCCTGTTGTCAGGGACTGGGCAGAGGAGGAATCCTGGCCCTCCCAAGGAGGAGGAAGAGAGTATAGATTTACAACAGGTGTTTGAGGGAAGTACAGTGGTACCTCGAGTTACGAACGCCTCAGGTTACAAACGCTTCAGGTTACAAATCCGCTAACCTGGAAGACGTACCTCGAGTTGAGAACCTTGCCCCAGGATGAGAACGGAAATTGTGTGCCAGCGGCGCAGCGGCAGCAAGAGCCCCCATTAGCGAAAGCACGCCTCTAGTTAAGAATAGTTTCAGGTTAAGAACGGACCTCCAGAACGAATTAAGTCCGTAACTAGAGGTACCACTGTAGCAGCTCAGAGGCAGATGAGGGGGAGAGCTGGGAAATCATGGGAGACCCAGAAAAATACCCAGCGGACATGTTGTCATTAGAAAGCATTCCAGACTCTCCATCTCCCAGAACCTGGCAAGCCTTAAAAGTAGGAAAGCAAAGAGCTCAAAGACAGAGCATGTAGCAGCACCCATAGAGGAGATGATGAGAATGATAAATGAGGAAGTGGGAGAGACGGGGGGTAGAGATTCACTCAGGACAACAACATTATCCAAGAGACTGGGTTCTATAGCCTCTCTCTGTAAAGACTGAAATAAAAAAGGATGGTAAGAAACTTTTCCTTGTCTTTATACTTTCCTGGGCAACCAGCCGGGAGCCGCTAACAGCATCCTGTCACCTGTATGAGAAGGGGTTTCATCATAAGCATGCTATAAACAAACATTCCAACTGTTTGGGCAATGCAACCAAGCATGTACTTAACCAGGACTGCTAGAGCTAACCTTCTGACGTTCTTTGGTATAGGGATCATCTGGACACTTTACTGGACAGTTCAATCTGACTCCCATTTTCCTCAAAAAGTTTTTGGTGAATTGATCACAGTCTATAATCCTATATCTTCGACCATAAAAGATTAGCTCTGTATCGATGTTGAAATTATCTACAGTATAGAACTGATCTTCATTAGGAGGCGGAAGTGGAACCCGATGACGCCGAAGAATTGTTCCTGTATTGAAGAGGAAATGCAGTTAATATCATATATTCCAACCTCTAACATTACACTAAAGTTACTTGATATGGAAAATACTGTTGCTGATATGAAAAATTGAGACCCCCAAAAGAATAATAATAGCAATTCTAAAAGCAGAAAAATCATAAAGTTATAGCACTTTAAAGAGATAAGAAAAAATGATATTCTCTTAATACTTGTATTCCAACATATTATAAATATGTACTTTTACTGAAATCTATCAGTCTGCATTCCTAAGAAATGAACTGTGAACCAAAAGCTAACAGTAGTCACAGCCAAATAAAAGAAATTAATTCTAACTCCCAAAATCACCGGACCAGTTTATACATTTGACAGAAACAACTGCTGAATCTCTTCAGGCTTCATCAGAAAATTCAAACAGTATCACATATTTGAATACTTCTCCATCTTAAAAAAAGAAAAAATATATAAAATTAACATATCAGAGGATTTAGCCTTGGTTCAATATTAACATGCTGTTTTTCTTTGTGCAGCGTGTTTCTTTTACATTCTCTGTAGCTGCTCCTGGTCAGTGGAACTCAGTGCCTCAAGAGACTCATTCTATTGCCAAGTTAATAAGTTTTCATTTAGGCAACCATTTGGTTTGCCTTCTGCCAGAGTGCTTAATCTGCCTGATGTACAGTGGTGCTGTGCTATGTTTCTAGTTTAGCTTGTAAAGGTATAGTTTGATTTTAAACTGCATTTAAACTGAATTTTTCAGATAGTATTGTGAACTGCCTTTTAAGAGTAGAAAGGTGTGTTATAAATCCAATAACTGAATACACACATAGATAAAATGCAACCATCCACATCTAACTAGAAGCGGTTTTACAGCTTGATATTTGAATAACTGCAAGCCCTGAAAAAGTGGCCCTATGTCTGAAATATTAGCATTGCAGTGAGTGGGGAGGAGATTCAGGGCAGTGGTGGAGAAGAGAGTCAACATGGGGAATAAGTCATCGTAATGATTATGAAAGTTATAATTTTTTAAGAGTATTTAGGAGCATTTATTTATTTATTTATTTATTTATTTATTTATTTGGTCTCCAGCAACAAACAGCATATTTAAAAACCACAAACATAAATATATCACAGTACTATTGACACATTCATACAAAAACACATGCCAATTCAGAAAAATTATACAAGGCAATCCCACTCTGTAAAAGCCACTGGAAGCTTTCAAAGCATACTGACTGCAACATTATCACAGTCCATCAAAAACCACAGGGGAAAATGTGGTTTTTTTTAATCTGGCACCAAAAATATGTCAGCCAAGGATGGCTGGATGGGTGGACTTCGCTGGGAAGAGCATTCTACAGTTGAGGAGCTTAACTGAAAAGGCCTTCTCGCTTGTCAGGGAGAACTATCCATTAAGTTTTTCTATAAACCTCCAACACTTAAAATTGATAATAATATCAAAACAAAGCTTTCATGGTTTTTGCCAAGGAGACAAAGGTTTCGGAATAATGAGAAAATATGCAGAACACAATGAATAATCACAAAGGTGGCAGAGCAAGTTTTAAACTGCTTGCAGGGGGAAAGCCAACAGGAGCAGAGGAGGGTGTGGTTTAGAATGAAGGATGAAGATGGAAAACTTTATGATAGTTTAAATGGCGGAGGGATAGAACTAGGCATTCAGATTACGGGGCATGTGTTAGCAATGCACAGAAGCCAAAGCTCAATAGCCTAAAATGCAAGCTCCGAAGACATTTGAAGAGATATACTATATGTAAATGTATATATGCTAATGCTAGAAGCCTCCAAGCCAAGATGGATGAACTGGAATGCTTGGCCTTGGAATACAGTTTTCATAGAGCGGTGGAATGAAGAGAATGGTGGGACATCTTGTCTGTGGATACAAACTCTACAGGAAGAAGGCATACAGGCAATAAGTGTTGTTCTGTACATCAAAAGACAATATAGAGTCGAACAAGCTAAAAATCCCCAAAGGGTAAGACTCCTCCATAAAATCACTGTGGTTGGTGATGCAGCCCCCCAAGACTGATTTAGTACTGGTGGTGTGCTATCACCCCTTGACCAAAATGCTCAGAGTGATATTGAGATGGAGAATGAAATCAGGGAGGCATCCAAAGGAGGAAACGCTGCAGTAATAGGTGACTTCAATTACCCTCACATAGACTGGGTACATGTGTGTTCCAGTCAGGACAGAGTGGTCAATATTCTAGAGACACTAAATGACTGAGCCTTAGAACAGTTAGTCATGGGGCAGACACTATACAAGATATTTGATAGCATTTATTGGTGAATTCCACACTTCTTTGTTTCTTTTACATGTGCTTGGAAAAAGGATTTTGGGATGCTAGACTTTGCGATTGTTGGATCAATTCATCAAGCTCTGATGGATGATGTAGAAGGACTGGATCCGATCACTTTTGCTGCCTATGTGTGCTTGTATCCATATGTTACATCTCAATGCAGCTCCTTCCTTGAAAGTGTCTTCAGGGTTGAAGTAGGCAATCAACACTCATGAACACCAGAAAGATTCAGTCAAATGTAGAAGGTTTACTTGACAGGCATAAAAGCGTATTGGTAGCAAATATATACAGTGGTGCCCCGCAAGACGAATGCCTCGCAAGACGGAAAACCCGCTAGACAAAAGGGTTTTCCGTTTTTGAGTTGCTTCGCAGGACGAATTTCCCTATGGGCTTGCTTCGCAAGACGAAAATGTCTTGCACGTCTTGAGATTTTTTTTTCGCTTTTCGCCCCCTTTATCTAACCTGCTAAGCCTTTAATAGCCTTTAATAGCCTTTTAGCAGCTAATCCGCTAAGCCTTTAAGCCTTTAATAGCCGCTAAACCGCTAATAGCGCTAACCCGTTAAGCCGCTAATAGGGTTGCTTTGCAAGACGAAAAAACCGCTAGACGAAGACTCTCGCGGAACGGATTAATTTCGTCTTGCGAGGCACCACTGTACAGGCATTCACCACTGCCATGGTCAAGGCATGCTTACAGTCCAACAAGAGCCCAAGACTCTCTCTCTGCTTCTCTCACCGCAAGGCACAAGCAAGAGACTCACAACAAGTTACACAGAATCACTGTTATCAGCATTTCCTGTCACACTGCACCTGTCCAAAGAACAGTTCCCACAGAAACTGTCCTTGCACAGACAAAACAATCTCAGCCTTCTGCTGCTTCTTGAAACTTCTTCTGTTTCTGGAACAAATGATTCTCACAGAGAGAGAGAGAATATCAACCCCCCCCCTCATTTTTACGGAAACAATTGGGACCATGACCATGTAAGGAGTACTTACACATCATGCACTGCAAAACCCCAACATTTTAACCAATTCAGCATGTCTCTGAAAAACTAAGATTTGGTTACACACCAGCAGCAATCAGTTTGCTTCCTGGACGTCCACCACACTAAGGAATCGCCAAACTGAAACACCATACAGTGGTACCTCGGGTTAAGTACTTAATTCGTTCCGGAGGTCCGTACTTAACCTGAAACTGTTCTTAACCTGAAGCACCACTTTAGCTAATGGGGCCTCCTGCTGCTGCCGCACTGTCACAGCAAGATTTCTGTTCTCATCCTGAAGCAAAGTTCTTATGAAGCACTATTTCTGGGTTAGCAGAGTCTGTAACCTGAAGCGTATGTAACCTGAAGCGTATGTAACCCGAGGTACCACTGTACTAGACACTGACTCCCAGTCCTGCAAGTAGGACCAGTCACTATATACAAAGCACTTCAGCTCCTCGGGTCTTGAGGATAACCACTTAAGACAGTAACTACAAATAACAAAAACATGTTCCATCCCCCTCCAGGCTACCACAATACGAGTACTTACAAACACTACTCAAGACCCTAACAAAGTAAATTAATCTGGTCTACTCTATTGAGAAATATACAGCAAACTTCCAATACCAGAATGATACAGGTCAGAATCCAGTGGCTCTGAGCTATCCGCCTCAGTCTTGACACCACTGGCTGTACACACAGTTGCAGGTCAAACTTCCTGACACTTGCAATGTGGAATAACTACCTGGCTCCAAAGAACCTCAGAGACACCGCCAAAAACACCTGTTCACAGCCCATGGTCAAAAAACAATGAAAACCCTTGCGCAACCGTTTCACAGCTACTTTTCTTGTTACTTTAGAATTGCTAGCTTCTCTGCCATACCACCACTTCCTAGTAAGGGAAACATTGTGATACACAGAACACCATCTTTTCATCTCTTTCTCTCTGACTTCCCTCCTCCCTTCACATTTGGGAGAAAATGGACTCTGCCTTTTGGGAAAAGAGATGAACACCTCTTGGCTTCTTCACTAGCCTAAGAAGAATGATCACAGAGAAAATTGCTCCCCTTTTGGGTATTCTCCTCCCAGAATACCGAGTCCACTCTGGCACAGAGCAAGAACCCCCTCTGTAAATAACAGACATCACTCCCTATGTTCCTGGAGATTTAATAGCTATGGGCACTGTACTCAAACTTGACTGCACAGCTTGCACACTTGCATCCCATACTGCTCCAGAGGGATACGAAACACTCCTGCTTTCAACTCTGCAGGAAACTGACTTCAGGCTAACCAGCATTACTAGACTGCTGTTGGAGCAAACCATCTACACAGCATCCGTGGAACTCACTGCCACTAGACTATAAACACCACCATGTAGGCAAAACTATTGACCAACTAGTTATGCAAAACACAAGTCAGCTCCTTCTGAAATTCACCTCGGGAAATGGGAAACACTAAGCATCCAGCTTAAGCCCAGAAAACAAAGCTTGTACAAGCTTACCCCGCCTGTTGGGTACCCCAAGATCTACTTGGCACAGGCTTTAAATAAACACTGTCAACCACCGACAATATCACCAGCTAATCAAACTGCAACACCCCTCAGGGCAATACTTCTCCCCTCTGGGAGTGGGAGTGGCACCTGCTCCTTGCTGAGCAGAGTGTGGATAATGACACCAGCTCTTTACCATGGTCTGAAACTGAAACCATTTGAGCTGTTACCTGGAACTAGCCAGTCCAGAAATGTCTGGTAGCTGAATCTGGCCCAATTCCAGACAGTCATCATCAGTCCCATTAGAGTGAGATTGATGCCCTGTCGAAGGCCTTACACATCTCCTCCCTAGATGCAGACACAGACTAAAACAAGCAAACTTCCAGCTTGTGAGCCTGAGGGGAAATCAACCCCCCTCTCCTGCTTCTGCCTATCGCACACCAAAATAAAACTCAGCCTGAGCTAGTTGTTCAAGGCAACTCTGCATTTCAAAGCAGAAAAACAGATAGATAGCCCTGCCAAACTCGCCTCAGCGATATCAGACACCACTTTTCAGTTGTGAACTCCTGAAAAGTTTTGTCCTCTATTTTGAGAGAACTCCATAAGTAAAACATATTTAAACAGTACACATTATATACACAATTAAAACAGGAGAAACTTCAGCAAAAAAAACCCTCTCCTCTCCCACTCACAGCTTGCAGACTGTATCTGAGCTCTGCATCTGAGACTGTGAGATTTATTGCAAACTTTACTCCCCCCTCTGAACCGGGGGGGGGGGGGAACAATTAACATTTTACATTTTACCTTGTGTAAATCAGAAACTATTGCCCAAGGCCAATGAATTATGTTCTGAATATCACCATATCAGTAGAATTCACACCTGAATTCACATCTGAAATTCAAAGGTATCCCAAGATCTTTACAACTGACAGACCAAGTATCATGAGATCGTAAAATATAAAAACAAGAAAACTTAATCTAGTACAAAATGCTATCTTTCTACTGTGTCTCAATCAACATGATTAAAATCTGTCTGCAGTTTCTCAGAGAAATGCATACATCTGATTGCGGACTGTGAGGTCTTTCAACTATCAATTTCATGATATCATAATCCTTGTCTTATGACTGGGTACACTATGGTTCCATCCCTACTACTCCATTTAACACTGTTAGGGTGTTATGAGTCTGCAATCATCTGGAAGGGGAATTCGAGTGGTATTAAAACCTGAAGTGGCCAGCCACATAGCAAACAAAGGAGAAAACGCCTTCTGCTAAAAAGGAATGGATGAAGGAAGCACATTCTGAGTATTCTTTTAAACTATTTTTAACATTTAGTAGCAGAATGCTGTTCTACACTTCTACACTCTGCGTCACATTTTTCCAAGAACTGCTTTGCAACAAAGGAGCCAGGATAAGCGAAGGGGATCATTCTGGCTCTTCTGGCTCCAGGGAAGAGAAGGGGACTCAGCACAACTCAGACCCAATTGTTTTGTGATGTCCTTGCAGCAAGACTGCAAATCAATACTTTCCCTTTGGATGAACATTTTTTTAAGAAGGTACACAGTGCAGTGTGGTGCTTTGTGTAACCTATAAATTTCTGAAGCAGATGTTCTTCCTCCAAATTTAGCTAAACACCAATTAAAATCACTGGTGTTCTGGCTAGCTTTCCCTATGTTTACTTGGAACTAAGTCCCACGGATTATAAAATAACTGTCTAGTAAGCAATACTGCCTTCTTACCATCCCACTGTACCTCCGTTCTCAAATAAGCAATAGTACACATGTGGGGATGTCTCCCTTGGCACTGGATGGATCTCTCCTTGCCTGTTATGTCTGACTCATGCTCCTTCAAGCCGCTTTTACAGCCCATTCCTATGCATGTGTATGCGTAAGTAAGTCCTACTGTATTCAGCAGTGCCCAAAGAGACCGTGGCTGCACAGGATCACAGGAATACATTAAGTGGCAAAACTCTTTATTAAAAGGTAATGGGAAGACCGTTACAGAACAGGTAGCAGTATTGCAAATAGAAATGCTGGAGCATTACCAATCGTGCAGTCAACAAGGCACTCCTCCCACAAGGTACCTCAACAGTGCTCTTGCACAGGATGGGCTAAAGTAGCAATCATGCTCATCATCAGAGAAATCAACAAAAATCAGAAAAGAATGAGAAAAGAATTCAGAAATTAACAGCAATGGCACTGCCTGGATTCTCCACAACAACTGAATGAATAAAGGACTGCAGTTCTAGAGCAACCTACAGCTGCCACTATATATACACGGATGGATGAACCAGTTAGTAAATCAAAGCAAAGTACTTATTATGGTAGGCTGTCCAACAAACAATGTACAAAATATGAAATATAAAAATATAAAATCACAGCCTTAATGGAACCAATTATTAATGGTGGATCTTACAAGGCTAAATCCTTAAAACATATTTTTTTTAAAAATACTCATGCATTTCTTCTCTATTAAATTGCATACACTTGAATCTGCAAGGAAATATACTGGTGCTAATAGGCAAAGAGGGAGAGGGGCAATGTTTTGACCCAGAAACATGATGTCACTAGAGACGTGACTGATTACTATACAGTACTGACAGCAGGTCAAACAGGGAAAATGCTGGTGTATAATATGCAGCAGATGAACAAAACTCTGGGCCCCATAAACAATTTCATCCATAAGCAAAATCTGAGCATTAGAGACAACCTTACTTTTAATGCTTGTTATACACATCAAGCCTGCATCTTTTCACAATTCTTCCAGTAATTATTTCATTACATCTGTATCTCCTCCAGCAATTTTCAGTGCTCTCAGTGCCAAATTAGGCAAAAAGTTACAGCCCTAAACTCTTAACCCACTACACCACAAACACAGTTTTCAATCTGTGGCTTTAGATACATCCTGACAATAAACTGCAGAACATTTTGCAGAGAACATCTAGCTCAAGGTCAGTGGCGGCTATATTCCCTACCTAAATTCACTGAGAAGTAGTAGTTCCTAAAGAGTGGAACAACAATTTCTTTGGAACATGTTTCCTGTTCACCCAACAGCCTTTATGCCCTATCACCCTCTTCCAGCTAGGATAACCAGACCATGAGTATACACAGTGCCAAGTTTCTAAAGTATTTGGGAACATCCGATGCCTTGAGACAATCAGTGATTCATTGAAGCTGGAGGATGTGACCGAGGCCTTATGTGCCTGACTGCACTTTCCTTCCCTGTCCAGCTGGCCTTGGGGAAGCCCGCCAGCAGGCAGCGTCTTTCTCCTGTTCCACTGGCTGACCTTGGAGAACTTGGCCAGCCGCTTCTGAGCTGTGCTCTGGATTGTGGGATCTGGACTACACCAGAAACTCACGTTAACCCTAAGGGATAGATATAACCCTTCCATATCAGAAAACATTAGCCAGCCAGTGTTCAGTTAACAAGAATAAACAGTATACGTATGCAAAAATTTCTCCATTCAGTCAAATCCCTGAGCACAGACGCTTTCTTGTTACCACTATGTTATGCATTCTGTCTTTGGGAAGGTAATAGAGATTTGAATTTATCTTTCAAGGTGATCATTCTCCCCTTCAGTCCCGAATCTTGCTTCCTCAGTTGTTTTGAACTAGTATTTGAAGCTTTCATCCTGCCCGGTGGTTTAGTCCTGATCAAGGTTACACACATTTCTGTCCCACATTGACTTTGCAGTTTGAACTAGTTTACTTCATATGGTAATGTTTTATTTTTTGCCTAAATGTTTCCTACGAGAACAGAGAGAGGCTGAAGGTGACATCTCTCTCACCTAGAGTTGATGCCAAACCATAGCACAAGGGGCCGTATTCATCTCAATCCCTACACTAATGGAAGCCAGTACAAGGATTCCCATTAGTGTGACAAAAATTCACCCCTCCTCCCACTGCATCATCCCCAAAATCTTTTGTCGTGGATTGGGAAAACCCCAGGAACAAATGTAGAGGGTACACGGAGGGAAGAGAAGGTTCCATCACTCACAGAAAACCCTTACACTGACAGAACCATAGCGCTACATTGCAGCCTTATATCTCCACTGGGAAAGACACACAAAAATAAATCTCTCTCACTGGTTTTGGCAAAGTTTCAATCAAGAGCCTCAGTTCTGATTGGGTAAGATTCCCAAAAAAGCAAATGAAATGTGTGGCCCATGCTATCTCATTCAAATAAGTTTAGGAGACACCAAACTGGTTACTGATTCACAGCTGGCCTCAACCTGAGTCATTGGAACTTGTGTTGTAGCTGAACCTAAACTTGAACTTCTTAACATTTAACTGTTTCCCGCTTGTAAGCAATAATAATACTATGTAAAGAACAAACTGTATCAGACAGGCAAAGATTACAGTTTATGAAGAGGAAAGCTTCAAGGAGAGCATTTGTAACTAAAAAATACCTTGTGGAATTCCACTGTTCTTCACTTGGGGCTCAACCACCTGAATTGTGTCATCTTCCAGATAAAAATATATTTTACAATGTCTTATTCTGTACAGCTCTTGATTTTTGTCAGGAACTTCTTCATCAAAATAAGCATCAAAAGACAATACCTATACAAAAAACACAAATTAAAATCAACAAGCACTGGTTGTAAACAAGTAATGTCAAGCTGTAAATTAAACAAAGCAGTGCATTGAGCAAATGTAAGCACAGAGATTTGGATTTCAACATCTGAGCTTTCTCTGATAGTGCAATCCTATATATGTCTACTCAGAAGTGAGTCCAATTAAATTCTGCGTGTAGGACTGCAGTGTGAGTCATCCTGTCACACATGTGATTTGAATTGTTTTCTACTTAGAGAAGTCCAATACACTTGTAAAACTTGCATTGATTAGAGTGTAGTGATGTGCTAATCCCTACCTCATCATCCAATGTGTAGACTCATTTTTTCCCTTCTATTTTCCCATGCTGTATGTGAAAGCAGGGCTTTGCTGGTCCTTATCCCTTCCCCCTGCAATGAATTCTGCTGTGTTCTTGTACTGATCATCATACTTACATTCACTCATCTTCATCACGCTTTCATTACGTAAGAAATCACATTTAATCAGGCCTTATATTTATCACCCAAAAAGAGGAGGGTTACAAACCAGTTTCTTTTGTTAACTTTGCATAATTAAAGAGTTGGCTGAGTATGGGTGATGTGTTGCCATAGTCAGTGACGTTGTTTGGAAGCAACAATATCAACATAAAATACACTAATTATGTTGTGTGTATGTGTATGTTTCGTGGAGCCAAAAACCACTCATTAATTCCCCATGATTGAGCATATGAGATTGGGGAGGTGGGTAGTTGCAGGGCAGAAGCCCCACATTTGTGTACGGATGCAAATCTGGACAACTTCTGCAACATCCCTGTAACAGTGTACAATCGAGTACTGTTTCCCAGCATCTCTCGTTGACAACATTCACACATGGCACAAACGACATGAGAATATCACTTGAGAAAATAGTTGAAACGAGGGATGGGGAACCCGCAACTGTTCAGAGGCTGGCTGAGGCAGCTGGGAATCCAACAGTATCTGGTGAGCCACAGATTCTCCTATCCCTAGACTCAATGCCACATTCTTACATTACCTGGCATAAGTCCCAGTGAACTCAATGGAGCTTACTTCTGAGTAGACATGTGTGGGATTACAACAGTCTGCAAGCTAACACATATTGTGAAAAAGATTGGCAAGTATGTGAAAGTTGTGCAGAAATGCTACAAAATAGAAATTACAAAATAATGTTATTTTGACACATGCACTCCGTACACACACACAAACACACATTAGTTCTGTTCAGGCATCAGCTAAACTCTTAGTTGTTCTTGCAAGCCTTTGTAATTTAAGAAATGTTTCCTATACAATCTGCTATTGTACATATTGCTGATCTGTGGTTTTAATTGTGATTTTAATACTGTTTTAGTGTGCCATGTTATTATTATTGTAAGCCACCCTGGGCTCTCTTGAGAGGAAGGGAAGGCTATAAGAAAAATGCATTTATTATTACAGTTAAATGATTAATGGTCTTCCTAAATCAGATCTTTTCTGGAGCCAACAAGTGTTACAAAGTAATCCAGGCTAGCTTCCTGATGAGGTGATCACCTGGGTGATGGGCCATTAGGGGGAACAATGGAAAGGGGCTCTGTGTGAGACAGCAAATGGATGAGGTCCCTCCCACAAATTGCAGCTAGTTAGAAGGCAGTTAGAAGGACAAAGCCAGAATGGAGTGGTGTGAGCAAGAAGAAAAGCAGCAATCTAGAGTGATATTTGTTTTCTGATTAAGTTTACTGAATTCTTAGTCCTTTCCCAATATTTCAAGCAATAATACTGTTATGAGTTGTGAGGGGGGCTGTAAGCAGAGACCCTCCAGCAATTTTCTTTTTTTATTTGTCAAGAAGGACCACACATATCACACAAGAAGCAGCCCTCCTCAAAGTCCCCACTGGCATCTACTATATACTCCTGAATCCAGACCAGAAAGGAGAGCATCAGGGTACAGAAGAGTAGACGATTCTCTCTAAGGATAGTGATCAACATTACATCTTCCTATTTGTGCTTTGAAAAATAAATGTAGGAAAGTAACTTTCTAAAAGCCAGAGATACATAAATATAGTGCTGGCAATTCCCCAGGAGGTTTATGGGATGTTAATTTCACAGTGAGGCCTGATTCCTCTGATGCTGCAGAGATGTGTAGCTCTGATTATTTTCCAGCTTTGAAAATGTGCATTGGAAAATCTATTAATATAGTCCTAAGACAGGGGACCCCAAGCATGGACACCTATTGGGGAGTAAATCCCTTTAAACACAGAGGTATTTACTTCTGAGTAAACATATCCATGTTGCAGGGAAGATGAAATCCTGTAGCATGGCTTACTGCAAAAAATGCCAAAGTATGCCTTGCTAGCAAGATAGAGTGACAGCAGCTGTGGGGGGGTGAGAGAAGCTATTAATGCAGAGTAAAGTCTCGTCTGAATTTGCACTTAATGAGCAGATTTAATCTCCTAATTAGATAGGCTGTGCATAGATAATTAAACACTGATTATATGGCTAACATTACAAATATCAAAAGGGAACAACCATAAGCCTTGGCAAGAAGAATTTTCAAATTAGCAAAGAACTGAATGTTGCAGATTATACCTTCCGATTCCGATCTCTGAACTTCTGCAATATTCCTATTTCATGTACGCATGTAACTTTTGTGACAAAATATCACCAGCTGCCTGGTGTTTGGAGTGTCTCTGTGTTAATGTTTATTCTCTCTCTTTAAATAAAATTAACAGAAGTTGTATATCAAGAAGAGATGATGGGTGGCGGGGAGAGAGAATGGAAATTAGCCAAGTCCTGTGGGGCACTCTGGAAAATGCATTATGTTTGGCTTGCTTGGACAGTATAATTTGATGAACAAATTTTACGAGGAACATTTTCAAGCATGAATTGTCCCATATGCAACTTAACTATTTAACGTCCTAATCCCAAGCCCAGTTAAGTAATTGTATTTGGATTTATGCTGATTGTGCCTCACTGGTTTTCACAGGATAGGATCTGATTTAAATCCAAAGCACGTTGGCTGAACTGGCTTGTAGATCACGCTGCAAGCATTATAGCCTTGTAGCAAGCGTTACACAATGGAAAAACTAAACACACCATTTTATGTATTATTAAAATGAAATATGAGCACGCGCTTCTCCTTCAGCTCCATTTTAAATTTTCAGGAAGTCTACAAAAGAGGGACAAAGAGATACAATTCTTTTAATGCATAACTACTTCATAAACCACAAATTTACAATGCTGAAATACCAAGCCCAGAAGTGAAAGTACCTTTAGATGGCATAAGAATAACAGAACAATGCCTATAGTACTTACCATTTTTTTGTTTTTTAAAAAACATGTTATTAATAACACTATTTAATAAGTATAACAATATAAATTCAATAAATTAATAATAATAATAATACATTTATCACTCATATTACACTTTTTCCAGTGTTCAAAGCCTCTCATCTCTATTATTTGGAGGATAAGAAATAAGTATTCATGCATTCAACCCAAGGTCTTGCACTTTCCACATGTGATCTCCCTTTCCCCATTCCCTTCTCCCCTTGTATGCATAGCTTAACAGAAGCCTTCCTGGCTTGGATGTAACAGCAAATCATGGTTGTCTAAGTGAGCCGTCAAGGCCAGGATTGCAAACTACAGTTGGATCCTGGTTAGCAATCCTGGACTAGAGCGCTTGCACAAACCACAGGGAGCAGATGAGCACAGAGCTCATTCCCAATCCTCCTTCAAACCATGAATATGATCTCTCAATGCAGTAATTGTCGTTAAGTAATTCCCACAAAAATGCTATAGGAATGGCTTTCACTATTATTGCCCTCATCCTGGAGATGATGGGCTGAGGCTGAGAGATTGTGGCTTGCCTAAATCCACTAAATTCATTCACACTAAAGTGAGGTTCATAGTTGAGGCTCTTGACTGTTCCACTACCCCAGCGCAGTTATTCATTTACGCTCTGTTTCCAAGACTAGAGGTGTCTTAATATTAGTACACAGGATGGGGTGGCCCAGCAGCTGCTGCACTTCACATTCACAAAGCACAGGGTCAGTGTTACAGCAAATTTATGCCACTATGTTTACATAATCAGTTTATCTGAAATAGCAAATGCTTAATTCTCTTCAACCTCTGTATTTCTTTACAAACTGGAGGGGTAACTCTGGGGCTGAAGTGAATTAAATGGGACAAAAAGAACTTTTGGGGAAATTGGAATTCATTCATTTTTCTGTTTTCCTTGGAATAAATCATTGTGTAAAATATTGCAAGGCGGGGTGAGGTGTGTAGGGCTCTTTGGAATTAGGCAAGTGCCCAGGGAATGACATAAAACAGCAGCCAATAATATGGCAAATACTCTCTGGAATTGTTTTTCTACGTAGACAGATGCTTCTCTCTGAAGGTGACAATTATGACATGAAAAGCAACCTCTGAATTCTGAAAATAAGGCACAGTATCAGAGACAAAATGAATTTCAGGAATGGCATTCTGGTGATTCAAAGATGCTAGAAGCCTACAGCACAAGATCTGGCAGGTAAATTGCAATCCAGACCCCTCTACCTGCAGCCCATCTCTTTGGTGGGATAGCTCAGTCAATAGAGCATAAGACTCTTAACGTTGGACAAATGATTCCTGCATTGCAGGAGGTTGGACCATATGACCCTCAGGGTACCTTCCAACTCTACAGTTCTACAATTCTATGATTCTTTGGAATCCCCGGCTCAAGAGAGTAAACTGCTTAGAGGTTTTAGGCAATTAAGTAGTATATAAATCTTATCAAATAAATAATTTGAAATAAAGGTCCCCTGTTCCCTAAAATGTCCCTTGTGCATCCAATCCAAGAGCATGAAACTGTCAGATGTCAATAGTACAGAACATCACCCAGTTGTGTGTTGCTCACCCTTTACACACTTCTAAGTGCTACGCATATTTCAGGTTTCACCTAAGGATGCTGGGATGAAGGAACACACATGCCACTGGAAACATACAAATAATGTGAACCAACAAATCTGTCTCACTGTACCTGTTTATCAAATGCTACCCACGAAGGCGCATCACATCCAACCCCTCTAGGAAACACACTGTACTTTGGTTTCAGCTTTTGTCCAGGCAAAGGTTCGCCTCCTATTCCAGGTTTGTCTTCTCCCACCAACATAGAAACCTTATTGCAGTAACTCCAGTGTTGAGATTTATGGAACTTTTCTTTCCCTAGCTGCAACCAAGAGGAAATAAATAATGTTTTCAGAAAACACAAAAGGGCATTTTTAGATTGCAATTACAAGAATGAAACCTATGGATTCTGAATCACACAATTCAGAATCCATGAAGCAATGTTAATCATGATAAAATAATAATTAAAGGGCTTTAAATCTATTTTAATTTCAGTCTAAATGCCCATGTCGAATTTTTGGTTATTTTCTTGACTCAGATGTGATGCACAGAATGAGTTCATCTTGGAAGTAGTTTTTCTAGGTATATCTGCCAAACAATTCCACTGATTTCTGCGGCACTGAGATGGAATGCCATGAAATGAATTGGATTACCCTCTTTAGGAAAAAACTGTGGAAATGGAACCACTGAGTGTTGTTGTGCTTATAGGTCTGAAATAACAGAAGTGCTGTGGAATCTATGGCTCTGAGTAAAGCAAAGATGGCAAAACACAAGCACTCAGCTCTATTATTAGTTTAAAGTCTTCCATATTATCGGGTATATGGGGTAGGGCACAACTGCATGACATCAAAAACTAAATCACAAGTGGAAAAAGTAGTGGCATCTTATTTATGACTGCAAATGGGGGGTTTGCACCGGAGCTAAATCTGGCTAGCCATCCTGGCTGTGAGCCCTGGAAGACCTGCTTCTTGCCTTGCAGTCTTTTCCACCTAGCCTAGGAGAGCAGGGCCCTGACTGACTCCAGCTGCAAAAGCTGAGGCTGCTTGGACACGGGTATTGTTTAGGTGGAGTCCTTGGGGGTTGTTATTGCTGTTACTGATCTTAACTTTCCATATATTTACTTTAAAGCTTCTTACGATTTGTGTGGAAATTGTTCAATTTGATTGTGTATTTTCTGATGTTTCGTTTATTGTTTGACTACCTTGGTTATGTTTATAATTATGTAATCTTTTTCATGTTGTAAGCCACCTTGAGCATGGTTTGAACTATGGAAAGGCGGCATACAAATAAAATGATGGGTGGATGGATGTAGCCTCAAAGTACAACATACAGTAGTTATTTGTCAGTTTCACCACCACCACCTCTGTTTCCAGCAGGGAATCTTAAGACTTTCCCTTCAGACTTTAGCTGAACTATTAAAATTGACAAAGGGCCTCTCCAAACTTGGCTTTGAGGCAACCTGCAGTCAAACTACACATTACCTTAAATACTACAGAGAAGTATGATCAATGCTATTTTTTCAGAACATGCAAGTTAGGCTTGTTGGGCAGCTCAGGGTGGAGAAGGGTTAAATCAGGTATAGGCAAACTCAGCCTTCCAGATGTATTGGGATTACAACTCCCATCATCCCTGACCACTGGTCCTGTTAGCTAGGGTTGATGGGAGTTGTAGTCCCAAAACATCTGGAGGGCCGAGTTTGCCTAAGCCTGGGTTAAATCAAAAAGAGCTGTGGACTTATATTTTTGGAGACATACTGACAGAATAACAAACAAAGGAAAAGAAGAGCATTGCAGAAGAGCAGGAGCCATGTGTCCATCCTCCATAAGGAGATGCTTGTGTATTGTGCCATCAAAACCAACATGCTTTATTTTCAGCTTGGTCTTGCTGTAGTGCCAGCACAGACAACACTCAAAATATACAGCATGTTGGTTTTGATGGCACAACGCCAAAGCACCTTCTTCTGGAACATGGGAATTTTCCTCAGATTCAGTTACCAATTTTTGGTTCAAGTTTGTAACAGCATAATGCTTCATGATTTCTGAAAGTTATCACATCCATCACAATGCTTTTCCATAAGAAGGCTAGTACTGCACACAGGCAGCCCAGCCTGACAAAGCTCTGGGCCACATTAAATAATGGGACTTAAGCAGGCGCTTGACCTTACCCCAATGGCTAGGAACTGATGATATCAGGAAGTAAAGGGCAGCTTATGCCTTCAGTTTTTGAAAGTAGTAACAGATGGGTAGTAGTGACTGGTAACAGCAGGTGAGGAGGATGAGAATCTCACCCCCATCATATCACCCCCATCCTGATAGTGGGTGTGCACAAGCTGTTTCATTTACGCATGACCATCATACACCAAGCTGCAGCATCCAGTAACAAAATGATTTAATGTGTAGATCATGCTTGCAAGGTCATGGGGCAGAATTTTTAAATAGTGCTGATCCTGGCTGTTACATTTGGATTAGCAACAATCAGCACAAAGACCGGCACATCCAGAGACACAAGTTGATCATGCTATCACACCAGCGTGCCCACTACTCACAAAAGCAATACACTCGCTGAGGAAAGTAGCTATCTTAAAATGAGATCTAACACCACTTTGTTGCTGAAGTGGTGTCGAGTTGTATCTTATGAAAACGAAGCTAGTGCTCTTCTCATTAGAAACCTATGGAGTTGTCATACAGCATTATTGCTCATTGGGGAGAGATATGTCTTTCTTCCATACATTGCTGGACTCCATCTCCCCTCAGCCTCAGCCAACCTGGCCAACAGCCGCTAAGCTGCCACCAAGGTCAGTGGCTGCTGTAAAATGAACTGTAAAAGAATAAGTGCTCTCATGCTCAATGAAACTGGCCAAAATCAGCTTTTGGTCTAACAGACTGCTAGTAATTTTGGTTTATTATAAAAATGTAAGAATTGGTTTGTGGGATCTGACCCAAGACCATTCTGTTTCTAACAGATACTAAAGGAGCAGTGACATGAGGCAACAAAAGAAGAGGCAAAGCTTCAAAATGGTCCTGGAAAACAAATCTCTATCAAATAATAATACCCCTTGGGAAACAATAAAATGCTCTGACACATTTTGGTAAATGGTAACCTTCCTCAGGGGGAAGAAACATTATTATTTGATAAATAATCATTTTTCAGGGTCATTTTAAGGCTTAGCCTCCTCTTTTGCTTCCAACAGAAAGAAGTTAGCCAGATGTCTCTGAGTCTGGGCACTCACAAACAAAACACAAAGATAATAGTCCTGTTTTGTCTGGCTTTGGCATACGATATTCAGAGGTGTTTGTTGCTACTGTACAAAGGGGCAGGATCTAAAAGTGCCCCAAACCTGGCCTAAACAGAAGATATAAGAAGTTTCTATTCAGCAGGGAATAATGTTAAGTGGCTGCCTAGCTAACAATCCATCACCAAGGTGCCTGTGGAAACACAAGTAAACACTTAACAGTTCCTTACAATGCATTCTGCATTCTGCTGAGTAAACCAACTATTTTTAATAACCAAGACAAACTACAGTATTCACAAAAAGTCTGGAAAAGCAACATTTCCTTTAAAACGTCTTCCAAAGAACTTCAGGAACAAAGTGATGGAATACACTTCAATAAAGAGCAAAGCAGAAGCCTGGTTTAAATCCAGCCCTTACTGTATTGGATAACCCTAGAAATAATTTTATTGTGGCTGAGCCCATATTTTGCAAGATTCACTCCTGAACCTGTCATTTAACAAATAATCCCTGCAGATTTATGCTTCTTCCAATAATAGTACAAATCCATTCATAAATATGTTCTTGGAACACACTCAGATATATCTATGACTTCAGCGCTCACTAAAATCAACAGGATGTTGTCATTTTTAGACCCAGCTTGGGCTTCAAAAAAACAAGTCATGCCAGACGAATCTCATTTCTTTCTTTCTTTTCTTTTTCTTTTTTGATAGAGTTACAAGCTTGGTGGATCAGGGGAATGCTGTGGGTGTACTGTAACTTGATTTCAGTAAGGCTTTTGACACAGTCCCCCATGATTGTGGAGAAGCTGGTAGAGTGTGGTAGATATGATAGCCATCTTCAAATATCTAAGGGGCTGTCATGTGGAAGATGGAGCAAGCTTGTTTTCTCCTGCTTCAGGCGGTAAGACCCAAACCAATAGCTTAAAGTTACAAGAAAGGAGATTCTGACTAAACATCAGAAAGAACTTTCTGATAGTAAGAGCTGTTTGACAGTGGAACAGATGCCCTTGGAATGTGATGGGACTCTCCTTCCTTGGAGATTTTTAAGCAGAGGTTGGATGGCCATCTGTCATTGATGTTTTAGTTGAGATTCCAGCGTTGCAGGAGGTTGGACTAGGTGACCCTCCGGATCCCTTCCAACTCTACAATTCTATGATTCTATGCCCATGCAAATGATGCTGCTTTCAAGACACAAAAATCCTTACATTAATCCAATAGAAACTGGTACCCATTGGGACTGACAGGGCAGAAGGCAGGGAGACAAACAGTGGGTGGAGCCAAAGCCAATAACAGACAGAGCCAACAAATTATAGCTTTGCCCCCATCATTTTCCCTGGTTCGTTCTACAGAGGAAAAAATGATACTAAGGAAGAGGAAATGAGAGCCTGGAGTGTTTAAGTGAAAAGGAAGACAAAGGGGGGGCAGGGTGAGGTTGGTAGGGCAGTGCCTCATTCACCCTAATGCACCTGCCTCCCCTGCTGAAGTATTCCTTTGATGCATGTACCTTTGTCTTGAATATGGAGGTGTGAGTGGCCAGTAATGCTTGGGGTATATTGAAGACTAAGCTTGCAAAAGGCCCCATACACGCCATGCATTTAAAGCAGATGACTCCCCACCAAAGAATATCAGGAGCTGCAGTTCATCCCTCACCAAGCCACCATTTCCAGTGCCCTTAAATGACAATTCCTTTGATGTGAACCACGTGCTGAAAATGCATGTTGCATGTGCAGCCCAAGTTGTTATAAAGTATACAAGGGTTAAGGAAATACCTCTCTGCCTCTGCACAGCCACAGGCAGGCAGCAAATACAGACAGCAGGAGATGAACTACGGAGATCTATCTCAACATAAGGCATTTCCTCGTATAAAAGAAGAGGTCGTATGTAAAAGTGATGTTACAAATCACACAGGGAGGGTGAAAGGAGAAGGGGATAAGTGATTCATATCTCTTCCTCCCCACCCCACTTCTTAACACTTTTCACCTCCTGGTGCTGCCCCCACCCACCCCTAGCCCCACATTATCTGCTAAAATGACAAGTCCCCAAACTTGAGCTGGGGGGGGGGCGGGCATTCCCGGTCCAGCTTCATAAAGGGAATACAAGGAAAGTGGTTCTGCCATGCAGTGGGAGCCCAGTGCAGCGGGAGGGTCACGTCTCGGGTTTCATCCGTGGCGGGTCCTCGTGAGCCGGATTTCGGGAGGAGATCCGTGCGAGCACGTGGAGGCGCGGCTCCCGCGAGGAGGAAGGCAATGCGCGTTTCGGGGGGCGGCGCCGGAGACACGAACTTGGGGAGCCCCCGGGCGGGGGGGGGAGGCGAGAACCAAGCCGACCCCCCACTTACATTCCTGTTGAAGGAGTTCCCGGGCAGGAGCGGTAGCGCCATGGCTGCCCCGGTCCCGCCCGCCGCCTCGGGCTGGTGTTGCTGCCCGAGCCCGGCCGGTCGCCCTCCGCGCTGCCCAAGGCCGGAGCAAGCGCCGGCGCGCTGTTTGGAGTCCGGTTGCCTGGAGACCCCCCTTTGACGTCACAGAGGGCGGCCGGGAAGGGGGCCGCCGCTCGCTCCGCCCTTGCTCTCTGCCGCCCCCTGCAGTCGCACGCCGGTTGCTGCAAGCTCGTCAACGCGGGAAGCCTTTGCCCCCCTCACTTCGCAGCTGCTTTGCTCCCCTCGCAGCAGCAGCAGCTTCCAGTCTGGAAGCTTAGGTCCCACCCGTGACTTCAAAACAAGTCTCTCTCTTCCTTCTTACCGCGCGTTAAATACGCCTTGCCAAAGCTACCTCAGAGACTCAGGCAGTCTCAGAGCAGAATGCAGTTCAGGCCAAGTGGCCAGGGTTTCCTTTGTACAACTGAGGTTGTTATTGTTGTTATTCGTCATGTATTTATTCCCCACCCTTCACTCTTAAGGTCCCAGGGTGGGTTATAGTATTGAAACACAGTATAACAACAACAACAACAACAACAACAACAACAACAACAACAAATAATAATAATAATAATAATAATAATAATAATAATAATTTATTTCTGCCCTGCCCATCTGGCTAGGTTTCCCCAGCCACTTCGGGCTGCTCCCAACAGAATATTAAAAACATGATAAAACATTAAACCTTCCGTATACAGGGCTGCCTTCAGATGTCTTCTAAAAGTCAGGTAGTTGTTTATTTCCTTGACATCTGATGGGAGGGAGGGCGTCACTACTGAGAAGGCCCTCTGCCTGGCAAAACAACTTAAAATCATCAAAATATTTTTTTAAAAAAACCAATACACTTCAATTGTCGAAAGCCAGGATAAAGACACATAATGTGTCATTAAACTATGGGACTTGCTTCCAGAAAATGCAGTAATGGTCACTCACCTGGATGTTTTCAGAAGAGAGTTAGACATATTTGCAGAATAACAGGCTCTCCGTGTCGATGCTTTTCCTCCATTGTTAGAGGCAGTATAGCCCTGAATACCAGTGGCTGGGGAGCACAAGGGAGGAGGGGGATGCTGTGCTCTTCTCCTGCCTGCAGGCTCCCCAGAGTAAGGTTACCAGATTTTTTTCAATGAATCCGGGGGACACTTTTCAACTTCCTACTAAATAGATGGATTTTGTCAGGGGACTGTTTTGTAAATCCAGGGTCTGTCCCCAGGAAATGGGGATGTCTGGTAACCTTGGCCACTGTAAGAACAGGGTGCTGTTCTAGATGGGCTTTAGGACTGATCCAGCAGCCTCTTATGTTCTTATGCATCACTTGGTCTCCCGTCATCATCCAAGCTGCGATATGTCCTGAACTGTTTTTACATGACCTTAGAACCCACAAAGTTTCTCCTTCACTCGTTGATTACTGTGATCAAAACACATTTGTCTCTTGTGCCACAAGTTCTGTCACCTCTGAAGTGAATCATGGTAACAGCGGTTGCGGTTTTCTTAAAACAACTACAACAACATGCATGCACACACACCTCGCTACAGGTGTTATTTACCGTATTTTTTGCTCTATAAGACTCACTTTTTCCCTCCTAAAAAGTAAGGGAAAATGTGTGTGCATCTTATGGAGTGAATGCAGGCCTACGCAGCTATCCCAGAAGCCAGAACCGCAAGAGGGATCGCTGCTTTCACTGCACAGCGATCCCTCTTGTTGTTCTGGCTTCTGAGATTCAGAATATTTTTTTTCTTGTTTTTCTCCTCCAAAACCTAGGTGCGTCTTGTGATCTGGTGCGTCTTATAGAGCAAAAAATACGGTAATTTGGGAATCCTAACATGTCTGCGTTGTCAGCAATTAATGCTGCTGCTGTAAATGGTGGCTGTGCTGCTTTTACCATGTAAACTTTACATCATGTAAGCTTTAACCCAACCAGCACCTCATCTGAAGGAAGTGGACTCTAATCCACAAAACCTTATGCCCTAATGAAATTTGCCAATGGTGATGGAAGTTGCAGTCCAGCAACATCTGGAAGGCCGCAGGTTTCTGATCCCTGGAAGATGCCACAAGCCTCCTTCGTGTTTGTACTACAAAACTGGTCTTGTAGAGACTATAACATGCCTAAAGGAGTGAATTTAATGTTTAGACAGTAATTCTGTCAGAATTTGAACATTTTAAAAAAGTACTTTCTCAAATATCCACAGTTCTGAAGCAACCTAGACTATAGATGAAGTTTGCATACACACTTCTCTTTTTTGCAATAACATCCATCACTTAATAATTGCAAATTGTCAAATTGCTAAAAAAAAAACCAACCCTTTTGCTTTTACAAAAATCAGTTTCCTCCTAACAACTTGAAAAATGTGTGCTTTCATCTGTCAGGAAACAGAAATAACATATACTTTTGTCAGCATCTTATTAAGTAAATTGCAAGTGAGATTGTAGAAGCCATCATTTCAACAATTAACATTCTGCAAAAACATGTTATTTGCTTGGGCCCATATGGTTCTTTTCTCTCTGTATTGATATACGGAAAGAGAATGCAGAATCCCAAAGGATCTCAGGCTATGCAAAGGACTTCTCCTTTCCCTCCTCAACTCCCAACCCCCTGCCTCTTCAGGCTTGCTTTTTACCAGAAAAGTAGGTCATGACAGAACATAATGCTAAGACATTGCGATGTGAATTATGAGTCAGCAGCAGGGCTGGATCAAGACCTTTTGAGGCCCTAAGCACTGAACATATATGTGATTCAAAATAAAAACAATGCTAAATTGTAAAATAAAATTTTATTTTTCAAAATGACACAAGACTTACATGTATACTGAAATGTAGGTTCATGTGTGTCATGTGCAACAAATGACAGACTCTGATTTTCTCACATTATTTTGATCTACATTCGTAGGGTGCCCTCTGCTTCAGGTGGGGAGAAATAATAAAAAGAGAAAAGAAAAATGGCAGAAGAGCTGGAGCGGAGCGTAAAGAAGTGTATCAAAATTCTGATTTTCCCCAGGATGACTCCTTCAGTGCTTTTTGTTAAATATCTTTTAAAAAAAGAAAAAGAATTCTCTCTTTTTGTGCCCATGCTTTACTAAGCATATGCTTAATCTGCCTATTCGGTAATTCAGGACTGCTCAGTAGTTTTGTTCCTAGGATGGATCAGCTGTACAGGATCTAAATTTACAACCAGTTGACCAAGTGCTAACCATAGTTTGTGCTCATTTTTATTGGCTGCCATTTTTTGTTGAATTTAAAAAAAACCCAAAACCTTCATAGTAAACAAGTCAACAAAATGGCCTGGAATGGAAGGCATGCCTTCTGCTACTTTTTTATGTCCCCAACACCGACAATTGGGAAACACTGGCCTGCAAGCATTCCAATTGGAGAACAGCCTTTACCAAAGGTGTCATGGACTTTGAAGACACTTGAACTCAGGACGAAAGAGAGAAATGTGCTAAAAGGAAGCCACATTTTGAAAACCCTCACCATGATTAACTCCCACCCGGAAACTTACATCCCCACTGTGGAAGGACGTGTGGATCCAGAATTGACCTCCACAGTCAGTTATGGACTCACGGTTATGACCATGTTCATGGAAGACAATCTTACTCGACTACTAGTGATCACCAAAGAAGAAGATGTCCTCATCTCTAGTCAGCATGAATCATAAACCATATCAGACCAATCATTTTTCTTTATCAGTTCTTCAATATTAGAAATGTATTTGTTGCTCACCCTAGTGAAGAGGAACTAACAGACAAAATCCAGGCCACAGTTTTATACAATGAACGCAAAGACTGAAAAGACTAGTAGATGATTGAGATACATGCCTAATACACATCAAGCATTATTAGATTCACCCCCTCAACACATTCAAAAAATGGACCCTTTGTGTCTCTAACCTGGGAAGCCTGTTTCATCACTTGATTTTGAAATCATTGTGATTTGAAATCACATGTGCATGTGTGAAGTTATTTGATTTTATTTTTAATTTTTTTGCAATAACAACCACCTTACTTGCACTGGTATTTCACTAGAGTAAACCAATTGCAGATTAATGTCTAAGAATCTGACTGTATTACATCATCAGAAAAAAGACACTGTTTAACTAGTTGAGCCTCGTGAAAAGCAGCTAGAAGGACACGGATTCCTGTTCAGTGACAACTTTAGTCCATATTGAGCTACTAGCGTTATTATTTCACAATCCCTCCTCACTCATTACCTTTTCAGCACAAATAGACTTATTTCATGTCCAGCCTTTGCAGCCAGTGAAGCCATTATTCCTTGTTCAGCATCTTCGCACCATGTCTAGGTGAAAAAACCGCCCTCGGATATCAGCGTCATTTCCAAACCAGAGTTCAGTAATCATTTCCTTTCAGACACAATCCAACTCAAATAAGTCTCTTTTCACGCCACCGCCTGTATGGTCTGTTTCCTTGGGGGCTTGGATCTGATTCTTTATAGACAGGTGATAACAGAATGAAAACAAATTCCAGTTCACAAATGTTGTTATTGAAAAAGATGTAAATAGCCCCCTCCCCAATTGTTGAATTAAATGGATTGCTTTGTAAGCAGTACAGGCTTAGCAAGGATACTAAAGAATGTATCCTACACAAGAGTTGATTTAATTTTGTATCGGTAAAGCTCAACAAGTAAGGTAAAACATCACATCAAATGGCAGCTAGTAAAATAAGGATCAAAATCTTCCTCTATCAGCCAAATCAACCCTGGTGTCATAGGATCCAGCTCCCACAAATTGTATGTCGTCCCCCCGCCCCAGTTGAGGGGCATTGCCATTCAAGTGGTGGGCCCCACAATATTTTATTCAAGTTGACATCCCTGACTACGAAGCAGTGACAGATACTTAGTGACTTTATTTTCTGTTCAAATGTGTGTGGGGTAGTCCTGTGTCCTTCTGTCTTACAGAGGATTATCACGTTTCAGGTATGGGAAACCTCTGGCCTACAGATATTATTGAACTATAACTCTCTTTCACCTTAGGAAGCATAGTTAGTAGCCAGCAATGATGGGAGTTTAGTTCAGCAACATCTGGAGGGCCAAAGGTTCTGTATTTGAAGAGCTGAACTTTATTTTATTGAGGTCCTCTG